GGGGCGGGAACTTTGAGGGTCATGAGGGATCGTCGACCTTGATCATAAGGGGGATTGTGGCAATGCTAGCTATTCGGACACCGCAGGTTAGCGGTAGTGCAACTGGGATGGTATAATAATGGAAACTTGACGGAAACCTGGCTGCCCAGCGTGACGAGAAGAATACAAACCGAAGCCCCGGCATACTGGCTGCCGCTAAGTATTTCCGACGATAATAGAAGTGTTCGCCCGTGTAGTTACGCTGCTGCAAGGACGCGTTTGAGGGCAAAGAGGAGTGTTGCAAGGTCCCTGATAGAGTAGTGACGTTGATATTTGAGAGAGTGTGTCTCGGCATGAGAGCGCTCAACTCCTGAGCCTTTTTGACTTTGAAGCTATTGGCTGTTGTCGTTAAATTGTCAAAGTGATAGGCACATTCTAATAGCGGTAGTCTTGCAGGAGTCTATGGCCTCCAGCGGTCGAGCGTCCCGAACTAGGTCAGCCCTTGAGAGTGTCAAGACAGAGCTGGAGTGTTGCCTCAGTTCTAACTAGGCCAACAGGACGGACTTTTCTTCCATTGGGGGCAGTTAAGGCAGTAGTTTAGTGATCTCCAAGGTCCAAGGGACTGTCTGTGACTAGATCAGGGGCCATCCATGGCAACTCGGTGCTTCGAGGTCGTCTCCTGGGGTGCGCTCCTCTCACCTTACAACGAATTGCTACCCGAGGAGGGTGCTTCAAGGTCAATAAGAGTTGGAAAGACTGATGGAGACAAAAGGGAAACTCCTCTTGGCGGTCGTATCGGTCAAGATGGCGTTCCCGCGAGTTGGATACTTGCTAACGCAGTGCTGCTGAAGGGTTCTGTAGCGCTCTTGTTAGCAAGATGGTATCGACGTAATCATAACTGAATAAACAAACAAGCAGTCGAACAAAGGCCCCCGAGAGACCAAAATGTGTGGGGAGGAAGGCAACAATGAGTAATTGATCGTCTTGCGAGGTATGCTAATTTGGCATGTAACACAGCGATTTTTGACAAAGCGCCTGAAGACTTGGAGCATGTCTAGATCTTCTCGAGGCGTCAAAGGTACTGTGATAGAGGATATGGGATCTGTGGCAAGCTGTAGCATCGCAGTTGACGGGTTAGTAAGGTCTGATGCTCCCGGTGGCTAAAGACTGGCTAAGAGCTTCAGGGGGTCAAGTGTCAAACCGTCACTAACGAGTTCTACTGCTATGATGTTGCGATTGGGGAAACAGTGTGATAGATGCGAGATCCAGAAGCGCGCTACGCACCGAAAGCACGTCGATGACTTGGGGTAGTCAGTTGCTGCGTACGAGTTGTAGATACCAGAGGGAAAAGCCAGTCAGGGGCTGGAGTATAAATGCATACGAGGTGTTCATGGTTATGGCCCCGGAGAAGAGAGTGATGATATGCATGATTTGAAGGGCGAAGCGCGTGTTACGCTTGTCGAATGTCAGCCTTGTCAGCGTCACTCTAAGGCAACGATGCGTAGTCGAGTCACGGACGTGTCTGCTTTGTTCCCTGTCGACACTGGTGTCAAGGGATGATAATGCAAGGTCAAGACGAACATTATGAAGGGGCGACGAGCTGCGAATGAAGATTGGGAGACGGGGTGGTAAGATATGTTGGAGTGTATGGAGGGAGATAATAGAAGAGAGCACACATACATATTCCTGTGAGGACATGGGGCCTATAGACAAGCACTCAGTGCTCATACAGGATGCCTTTAGAGGGCCAGATACCTGAATTGCAGAAGAATAGCGTATGAGCGTCTGGTGTAGGAGGCCAATGACGTTTCGTTAGTGTGGTGTGCCTTGTAAAAACGGTCACCAGGGCACCGATGCCTTTTTCGTCACACGTCAAATCGCACTACCCGCCGTATATCAAAACATTTCTCTCGAGTTTGAGCTTCTTCCCCTCTCTCGTCCTTTCACCCTCAAAACATTCTTCGACTTCCGCTCGAAGTCAACTTCTCTACGTTACTGCACCAACAAACAAAAGCGTGAGTGTCCTTTTCACTTCTTCTCGCTCTTTGTTTCTTTTATTTCCGTGTGCTCAAGTTAACTTAGGTCCCTGCTTGCACTCCAGGGCGCAGCAAACATGGATGAACCTGGACCTGCACAGCGACTGACTGGCGAGGGGTAAGTCGACACTTCTATCAAATCATGACAACAAGTACTGAAAATAGATGTACATAGCGCCAAGATTTCCATCTACTTTGGCTCGATGGCAGGAGGTGAAATTGGCCCTACTGTCGAGTACGTCCACGCTGAGGCAATTCTCCTCACGTGCCCTGAATTTCTCAAGAGAGTTACTAAATGGGGCATCATTTCGCTTCCATTCGCTACTACGGAGGCCATCCACGCCATGATCCGTTTCTTCTACACTGGAAAAGTCCCATTTCATGAGGTACACAAGTTCACTCTCCGCCCGGACATCGAACAGGCTTATGATCTTGCCATCCATATCTACTCCCAGGCTGTCTACAGCGATATCACCAAGATGAAGGACCAGGCAACCGACTACATGACGAGCCTCTTTCCGTATATGGAGCCCTCCTACATGCTGGCCTACTCATACAGTGTCCTTGAACCTCTGTACCCCGAGCTCAACTTTAAGTGGGTTGCAGTCCAAGCGGGATTACCATACTACGCCAATGACAAACTCATGGACGCCGTTGATGCTGAGCGTAAGGAGGATATCAAACGCTTCAGGGCGTCTGTCGCTCGCCGCGAGGCTGCCTGGGTCAAAATCAACCGAGAGGGCGAGGAGGAGGATTCTGTTGAGGAATCCGAGGTTAAGGAGGCAACCAAAGTCGGAAGTGATATCGCAGTTGAGAGCGAAGGCGAAGACGCCGAGGCTGAAGACCCCGAAGCTGGAGAGACTGAGGGTGAAGCCGACGCTGGGACAGACGATGAGTCGTATGACAGCAATGGAAAGCTGAAGATTATCGGAGCCGATGGCTTGATCAACCTCGACCTGGCCAACTACCCACCTGGTGTTTACCGCTGGTAAGCCGCAATGGTCTCTAACGACGAATACTTTTGGAACGATGGACTACGGAAATGTAACGATGAGCACGATGAGCCGATGGACATGTAGTGATGGTTGCAGCAGAACTGATTGGCATATGGGGATGAAATTTGTCAGTATGTGATCACGAGGGGTTGTGGGAAGGAGTCTTACCCATGTAATATTAGCTGAGAGTATCCCCCGAATACAGTCCATCTATGGCATTCAACACCTTGACCAAGTTGATGTTCTGTTCGTGAGAATGTCGAAAGAAGGTGAAGTAGCGTATGATCCCAGGCTCCAACTACTGGAATATCTTTCGCGGCCACGGGTACAGCGTTGCGGACATGTACCAGGGCTACTATATGGCCGCTGAAAGCTTTGATCTTTGCTTTGTTTTACATTCAAAAAAGACCACAGAGATCCTACAAACATCTGAGGAGATGTGTCAGTCACCGTTACACTTCTTTCACAGGATAATTGTAACGCACAAAGGGTGTTCACATTATGAGTACCAAGTTACCTGTAACTCCTCGATTGCGAGAGCAAGATGCACCTGAAAGGGACGATACCCGCCGAGAAGTATGTATCTATTGCCTGAGCTCCTTGTTTTCCATTGCTATGAGGAAGAAGCATAGTTTCTGTTGCCTACTATCGAGTGCATTGCCGGATCCTACCTTAGGTACCTTACTACTGTCAAACAATGAAGCCATGCGGGAGAAAAACTTCGAGTCATAACAAGCGACTGGCATTAATTTACTGATTGAAAGAACGCAAGAGTGCCTCAGTGACTGTGTCTTTATTGCAGCATATTTTTGCATTCATATGGTATTAGCTACATAACATCAACGCAGGAAACCTCTTACTTCACACGACTACTCACCAAGGATATATATTGTGAATCCCTGAAACTAAGGGATGGCAACCCCAGTTCAAGAGTCGGGTAAATCTCCTACCTTCCATTAGCTAGAGTGTGCGAAGTCACATGGGTTTGCGAGCTACCTTGGGCAGCAACTGGAATTCGGGGCGTGAAGTGATTGTTTGGGCATTGCTGCACGCGACTGTCCTTTTCTTGGATGTCAACTATCAGCCAGGGGCAATCACAAGGTACAAGGGGTTTGAGTTTGCCTGAGTCAACCTGCCCATGCGTTTCCCAAAACAGTCAGTAACGACAGTTGCTAAAGTCCTCCTGGAGCCACGGCCGTTGTTTGACGGACTCCACGAAGCAAAAGGGGATCTGCTTATACGCTAAGGTGCTTGCAGATCTCATGTTGGATTGAATATGTCTGCTAAAGCTGTGCTTGGGAGTCTGTGTCACTGTAAGTTGTCCGTGCAGTGTCAACTAGGTACGCTAGAAGTGGTGGTTGGTTGACACTTGGTTGACACTGTATGATGCAGTCAGTCCTGGGCGTGACGCGCTGGAATTAAATTATCAAACGCCTCAAACGCGCTGAAGACAAGTCCCCAAAAGCAATGTGTATCCTGTAAAAGAAAAAAAAGAGATGGTTAGTCAGTGTTTCTAGCATGGGTGTTGTACTTGATGGCTCTAATATGCATCAAGAATGACTTGGTAGATGAAGCATAGTCTAGAGGAGTGTTCAACTTCTGATCTGCTGAACGGAGCAAACCAGGGCTAGCGAGCAACTACCACTTGTTTGGTGACCGAACCCCTTGAAGTTACATTCCAGATGTTCCACGCCATCGTGAATGCGTGATTAGTCCGCATTCTGTTTGTTTGCTTGCCGTTTGTTCAGGACCTACGTCATGTTTGCCAGACAATGACTCCCCGTTACTCATCATCTTTTCTCTCACTTCTTTTCTTCATCTATTCCTTTCTTACTTTTTACTCAAACGACTGGGCTTCATCTCTAAATTCCTTCCCCTCGTGAACTTTCTCATACCAGTCTCATATCATATACCTGAGCACATCCATTACAACATATATTAAAACACAACAGCTTGTCACCATCGTCCTTGAGCGCATATCAATCTGGAAATGCCCGGCTGGTGGGGCTTTTGGGGCCCGAAGTTGCCTGATGATGCTCCTGAGAATAGACCTCTTGCCTCGTGAGTAGCTCACCACTGATTGAACAGTTGGCAGCTAATTTATCATCCAGACGCTGGTTCGGGCCCAGTAGAGCAATCGACTTTGACCATAAGCAACTGGTCCATATACCGCAAGCAGTCCTAGAGGAGCATCCAGGCTTCTTGGCACTGTGGCGGGAGAGGGACATCCTTTTCATCCCCAACATGCCCTATCATGTGGCCCATGTGTTGGTGAACTTCTTGTACACGAACAAGTACGAGAACCTTCGTATCGGCTGTAAAAGTGGGATCGAGTCGGCCTTGATCGACTTTACCACAGCTATATACGTCTACAGTGCATGCGTAAGATACCAACTGCCTAGACTTCAAGTTCAGGCTGGCGAGCGCATTGCCATATACGGGGACAAGATCCCATTCCTCGAAATTATAAAGAAGCTTTCCGGATCACAGTTCACCGACATGAATCTTGGCGGAACACTTTACGATTACATTTGCGACCGAGCAAGCGCCGAGAACGCCAGCATGACTGACACATCCGCTGCTGAGATTAGAGCAGCCATGGGAGGAACCATGGCTAGTGTCTTATGCCAAAAGATCGTCAAGCTTGAGAGCGAAAAGAAACATCTTAAGGAGATCCTTCGAAAACACTGAAGAAGAGTCAGCAGAGATGTTTCTGTATGAGCTGCCTGTTGATGTTTGCCCTTTATTGAGTCAGAACAAGTCGAGAATTTGAGATGTTCAGACAATGGTAACACTTTATGGAGATAAGGCGTCAAGTGTAAGGTAGCAAGAGGTATTATAGCTATAAAGTGTAAGCCAGCTAACTACCTATGTTGCTTGGAACTGAGTGAACAAAATTCTGTTCTTTTGTTGTACGTTCCACTTGCTTCCTCTTCCTCTTCTCTCTTGAGCGACAAGATCTCCCATGGGTCTCTCTGACTCACTCTCAAGACACTGACTGGTGCCATCTCGTGTCATAAAATTCAATAGCAGCAGCTGGGTTTCCGTGCCCGAAGACATAATCAAGGAAAACACGGAATTACTCGCCTGTTGGAAGGGCCAGCAACACTAGATTTCCCGGATGCTCCTTACCATGTTGCCCATGTGCTCCTTCAATATCTATATAAAAGGGAATGAAGAATCTAAAGACACATGGTGCTTGCCAGGAAAGATGCGCCAATGACTTTTGCATGGCAATCTATGTTTACAAAATTGGCATTAAGTACCGGCTTCCAGAGTTGGAAAAGCTGGCTACAGCAAGGATTCGGAGCCACGGAGACAAAATTGCATTCGTGGAGATCATGAAGCGCATGTCAAGCCCTCTATTTTCTAATATGGAGATATAAGGTCTGTTTAACGATTACCTCTGCGCCAGAATGACTAGAGAAGGCGCCAGTATGACCTCACAAACAAGGGCCGAGATTGAGAAGGTTATGGGGAGCACCATGATTTCGATACTCTACCAGCGAATTGTTGGGATTGAGAGAGAGAAGGGTAAGCTGCAAGAGGCTGTCCATAGTCTGCAGCAAAAGCAGACAAAGGGCTCATCTCGCAACAAGTCGAGATAAGATGATGGAGTTCGATGTATGGATTCCGAGTGGAAGTATCGGTGTGTCATATGTATAAAGTCAGGATGCTGCTAGTTACCACGACATAGGTAGGATATACGATCTTTGGTAGAAGCTGACGGCGGGTATGGCAGTATACGCATACCTAGTATATCTCTATCTAGAGCCGAATATTGCAAAATGCATCCGTTACACCGAGTCAACAATGAAATCGAAGTGACATGTTTTCAGTAGACATGAACAAGACTGTCTAGATGAACCACCCATCGTACAATTAAAATAGGTCTAATACTAAACAAAAATGGTGACAAACTAGAAGGGAGTTGCAAAAGAATCGGCAAATGAAGTCGGATTGACATTTACACTGAGGTTGATGATGACAGTTTTTGACAGGGGTTCCTTGCAAAGCCAACGATGGATTAGGCTTAGCGGCGGTTGATCTACACCCCTGTCCTAGTCTTCGGCCGCGGATTTCGTACGAGGTCAGGTTCGTGCGAGGTTCCATATTAGTGAAGACCGAGTAAATCATATTGGTCGACATAGTAAGTTTCACGTTCTGAATCTCGATACTCGGCCTAACCTTGCTCAGATCTCGCACGAAACCAATCCGAATAACCTTTCGAACTGACATAAAAGACAAAAAAGACAACAACTTCTCACCATGAATCTCTTTCTCTGCCTCCTACTTATCCCGGTTATTCTCCTAACATTTCAAGTCAAAAGAATCGCCCCAGCCTTTTCTTCTACCTACTACCGCGTCAAGTTGATTCTCAAGAACTTCTGTGAAAAGATGCACTCCTCCGCCGTGTCCGACTCCCCTGAGCTCGAGAGCAACAAGCCAACCGAGAAGAATGACCGAATCCCCCCTGATGGAGGAGCGAGAGCATGGGCTTGTGTCGCTGGATCGTTCTTGTTGCAGTTCTGCTCCGTTGGTTACGTCAACGCGTGAGTTTGGCCACCGTTCATCGTCAGGGCCGCCCACTGACCTTTGATATTAGATGCGGCATGTTTCAGTTGTACTACTCGGAAGTCATGTTGAAGAACCAGTCGTCATCGGCCTTGGCCTGGATCACCACTCTTCAGATATTCATGCTCTTCATGTTCGGTCCCGCTGTTGGCAAGATGATCGACGTGTATGGCTGCCGCAAGACACTGCTGCCCTTCAGTATCATGGCTGTTTTCTCCGTCTGCATGCTGAGCCTTTGCACAATGTACTGGCAAGTCATGCTGGCTCAGGGTGTTGCTTTTGGCCTAGCAGCTGCTGGCTTATCTCTCCCCGCCATGGCAACGGCCACTCAATGGTTCTCGACGAAGAAGGGTTTGGCTGTCGGTATTGTTTCCGCTGGGAGCAGTCTGGGTAAGAAGAAGAAATAGTATCTTCGGCAGAACTGGCTAACATGAGATCAGGAGGTGTGATCTATCCTTGCATGATCCCCCGACTCATCGAAGAAGTCGGCTTCGCAACTGCTGTTCGTTGGACTGCACTCTTGCAAGGAGTCCTCTTAGTCATCGCAAATGCCCTCTGTACTTCCCCTTTTCCACCGCTTGGTAAAGTCTCGCCAACAGCAAAGAAAGAGAAAGTTACTAGCGGTGGAAGCAACGGATCCAGAAGAGGACCTTGGGTGTTCTTCATCCTAGGCTGCTTTTTCACCATGTGGGGACTCTTTGCACCCCTGAACTACCTCCCAGAGATGGCTTCGCTTCACGGATACAAAGACTTCGCTGTGTATACCTTGGCCATCGCCAACGCCGGTTCCCTATTTGGCCGTATCGTTCCTGGCTGGATCAGTGACAAGATCGGCGGATTTAACACGATGGTCATTGTGACTGGCTTCTCCGGAGCTCTCGTCCTGGCCTTTTGGCTCCCCCTCGAGTTTCACACCTCTAAAGGTGGTATCATAGTCTTCGCCCTACTCTTTGGGTTTGCCAGTGGCGGTTTCGTCAGCCTGGGTCCTCCGTGTGTTGTATCCCTTGCCGAAGATCGGGTCGATGAGATCGGGTTCAAGTTGGGAAGCTTTTGTCTGAGCATCGCCCTGGGCGCTCTCACTGGACTCCCCATCCAAGGGGCCATCAAAGACCGGGAAGGGGATAGGTTTACAGGGTTGATGTGCTTTGCGGGCGCGTCTATGCTGCTCGGAAGCTTCTGCATGGCGACCGCTCGAGTATGCAAAGAGGGCGCTCGACTCTGCAAGAAGATCTAGTTGGGGATACCGGAAGCTTATGCGCGGCGAGAGTTATGATTTTCGAGTAGAAAAAGGCGAAAAGGATTTTAGTAGATAGCCAATTAATGAAAATCGCTTTATACCTAGAAGAGTTCAGTATGATCGCCTATGAAAACCTAGTATAATTATTGGGATAGTTATCATAACGTCTACGTGTTAACTTATGAAATGATTAGAGTCACACCAGAGCTCACATAGCCAGAGAATCAGCTTGTTCTAAATATATTTAATTCTAATATCCCATGAAAGATACCTGAGATAACCTACTGCGTTTCATAAGTTTCAGTGATCCATTTTTCAAAAGTAATCAGATTTATGTAACCCTAATGGCAATCACTTGGAGTTACAGCTTCAATTGCGTTTTGCAGTGGATCTGACTTAGGTCAAAATAACACACTTATTGAGTTATATGTTATCCAGGGTGTCTATTAGGGTAGTCTATCTATCCTATTGTGCTATGGCACCAGAACCAGACCATATATTAGACCCCATATAGTCTTTCCGGAAACTCTAGAAGTTCATGATCTCGAGGTCACTATCCTTTGGCTTCGCTTCAAAGATATGTATGCCATCAAGCCAGGTATGAAGCTGAACATTGTTGAGGGCAGCTCTGGTAACGTCATGGTTTGTGAGGAGAGCATTAGACTTTGTCCTGACTTGAATGAAACAGTCGATTGTCCCATCCCGGATCAGGATAGAGTCATGTGCGAAGTCCGCTGATCTTGAACAGGGTTAGCATTTGAGTTGCTCCATCAACAGTTTTAGTAGCCCTACCTTGGACCTCAATCTCCTCAAAGGTTGGAACTAGTAGTGGTAACGAGGCTCAGGTGCGTAGCGCAAGTCAGGGAAGCGGAGGCTGTTGATTGCACCGAGAAGGCCGTCGATCAGGGCATCGCCAGTTTGTTGTCCGAGCCCACCACGGTCATGATGCATAGCCGTTGGGTGAGTGGAAGTGAAACGGCGAGTCACGTAGTGTTGAACATAGGCCCGATTTCGCTGGTACCATTCACCCTGAGCCATGAAGTTGACCATGATTCTGGTAAGGGAAATCATGTCCCCATACTCCTCCATGTGGGCCAGAGCCAGCGCGGCAAGTTCAGGAAGGTTGAAAGAAGTTGCCTGAGCATTGATCGCCAGAGCATCGGAGAACTCTCGCTCCAGTCTAACCTCATGGGGCAAAGTCTCGCAATGCACAATCTTGTACTTGGGCTTGGGGTCCCGTAGGTAGTGAGTGATGATTCGAGCCTGACGCTGAGAAGCACCAGGCCAGTGAAGAATACCGCCCTCAAACATTTCAGCGAACATGGGGTGGCGGCCAACAACAAACAAGGGCAGGCGGACGTCGCCGTGGGGGAAGCGGATGATGACGGTGACATGGGTAGCAGGGCTAGGTTTGATAGTAAGTAAGGATCAGTGAAGCAAGATGGCACGGATACATACAGAAGAGGGCTCACGGTGACCAGGTTAGCATTCTTGGAACATCCGGCATCAGGACTAAAGCTGACTGTCAGTAAGAGAGCACGACAGGATGCTAGACTGACACATACAAAGGTTGACCCATGGGCTTGACGGAAGCCTTCTTAGAAGAGCTGCTGGCTTCGACAGGCTGCTCCTGGGATGAACCCTTGAACTCGAGACCACCAGACTTGGCGAGATCGGCAGCCCACTTGTCCCGAGCCTGCTCTTTGGAAGGCTGCTTGCCCTTGTCAGGTTTGTCAGACATGTTGACTGCTTTAGATCTTTGATTTTCTTGTGGCAGGGGAAGTAGGTTGCCGAGTTTGTGGAAGGGTGTTATGAGAAGGAGGAAAAGAAGAAAAGGTTGTGGGTAGAAATAAGAGGATACGGGCCTCTGGCGTAACACAAACGCACAATCTTGCTGCTTGGCCTTCTTCTTATTGTAAGCCTTAGCTCTATGGTGGGCCGGGCGACTGCAGCTCCACTAGGAGACGTGACTCCCTACCTTCTGGACTACCCCCTGGTCAGTGGTGAATCTCTCTTGTAGCCTGTAACCTTTCTTACTTATCTCGCTGCTGTGTAGACTTGGCTGAGAATAGCCCTGTTTGCCTCCAAACCGTTTCCTTTTCAGCCAGTGCCTCAAATGCAAGCCACCAAACACTCTGCAAGACAAGTCAAGTCAATATCAGACTATCACAGGGAACGTTAGTCACCATGAAATACACAAACGACAAAGCAGAACGATAGTCGATCTACCATGCTTGACTTCTTGTTACCTCCGAGCTGTCACGCATTCATCACCCCATGAATCCAGAAGAACTGCCTCAGGCTGGCCATGCATCCAAACATGACATGCTCAGGCGACAGCTGCCGAATTCAGAGTGAGTACCAGGTGAGTCGCAAGGCGGAGACCAGTGAAGCGTTTATAAGTCCTTGAATTTGTTACCAGGCGGCTGGCAGAACCAAAGCACGATGTGTCTCTTCAAACTTAAGCTGAAACCTACATACAGATGTCCAGACACGTATAGCGTTCCATCCTCGTACGAGGTATCGATAAATGATCCGAATAATGACCCACATTGTGTATACCATTAGGCCATATCAGGCCTCTAGTAGTGTATCACAGCCTTATATCAAGTTTTCCGTAAATTACCTCTGGAGTTTCTTTGAGCATTGCTGATAGATTTGTACAGGAGTTTCACGGCCGTACTGTCGCGTAACCGATCACATTCCCTAGCCTCGAAAACCTGCAACCAAGTCTACAATCGCAAGCATTGACTTCATGCTCTTCAAGAACGGATGGAGTCTTGATTATCTACTAGGAAGGTGAGAAGCAAAGAAATGTCTCCATGGGGATCGATCTCAGCCATCAATTCACCAAGGGATCCTCCTATTAATTACACAAAACGTATAACTCAGGGTTGCCAACATTTGTTCCAGGCAGGCAGAGCAGCGTTGGTATTCAACACGGGCCAGGAGCTGTAGCATCGATGTTCCAAAATCCCTGGTCGATCTTGTCAGCGGAAGTTCTTCTCTCAAAGGGGTGCAAGTTCACGTACCCAGTCAAACATGATGTCAGGTTCCAGCATTTCTATGCTACCCAAGGCTGTTGGGCCAGACAACGGAGCTGATGTAAATTCTCCGAAAATTGGCATGTCTGGCAGCAGTGCTGGGCTCGGCGCAGCGGCAGAAGAGCCTAACCCCTGTGTCGTTTCGTTGACAGGCAATTCAGTCCGCGTATTCTGGAATGGTGTCACTGGGAAGGGTCTCGACGTAGATTTGGCGAGGCAGTTTGAGATGATACGACTCATCGCATTCCACATCGGTGTTGCTTCTCGCTCCCTCGCGAGCATAGTCTTTTTCAATGCGTCCAGCGCTCGTGATCGTAATGCTTGCCGATTGGGAGCATCGAAGTTGGGCATGTCAAGCTCCGAGACAATATGCATGATAGGTTGGAAACATGCATGACCGCCAATATGCCATCCGAACCGTTGGGCGTCCTTATCCCCCGGCATCGTATTCAAGCTTTCGATGAGATTAACTGATTTCTCTAATATTCTTCAAGTATGTGTCAGCCTTTGTTCCTGTCGAAGAACTGTTGCAGCATTTCGGATCATACATACATTTGTCGAACTTCAGGGGTTATCACCGACTCCCGGTATTGCTCTGGTGTTCGCAGCCAGAAGATAGACCAGCACCGCCATTCGACTACCGTTGCAAGTCCAATTGCCATTCTCTGCTCCGGAATATGTGGACTACAGTATTGTAGATAGTGCGTTTGGAAATGGTTGACCATCTCATCCACCATGCCCCTGACTTCCTCGAATAAGGACCGAAGCTTGGTAACTGGGTTCGCGTTGTCATTGTTCTTGGCTTCTTGTGATTTCGTCGTTCTTTCAAGCTTGTAAGTGCCTCGGACAATTCGTCTAAAACAATGATGTCCATACAGACGGATCAAGTGAACTGTCATGTCAGTAAACCCAGCCGTTGTAGATGTCTCGTCTAAACTGGCCTCAACGAGGTTTTCATCCGATACGTTTCGTGGAAGAAAGGTGGTGAAATCCTCGTCTGATATAGTCGGCTCTTGACCCCTGCTCTCTGCAGAGCGGTAGTCGAGGTGGCATATCTGATGCCACAGCCTGCGGCGAATTTCAACTTGTATAACATCCATGCCTGTGGATGTGAACAGCGAGGGTTCTCTATGCAGACCCTGCGAAAGCGCTATCTTATGGGCAAGACCTAAAAGGGTCCACGTTTTTGCCATGTCATCTTCTCGTGACTGACAGGTCTAGTGACAAGTTAGCTAGGTCGCAAGCTCTGAGATGGGAGGTGTGCACACTCACTAGAAGCAGTACAAATGCTTGAAGTACTTCGATGTTTGACGTAGTCAAGAAGTTTTCTCTCCCCAGACCAGCTTGTACGCCATGCTGAAATTGGGAAAGTAGTACCTCCTTTTCTGCAGAAAACTGCAACAACACGTCTTCAGCCGAAAGACTATTGATAGCTGAATGGAAAACAGCCAACGCCAATGGTTCGAAAGTATGAATATACTTGCCGGAGTGAGCGGCCGAAAACTCCCCATCATCAGAGCTTGAAGCGTCCAGGCCATACGTGTAGTCGATATACTGGATCAGTCGTCGTTTGAGCGTGGGCTTGTGAACTATTCGAGTCATTGGATCAACGTTAGAGTAGAATGTATCAAGTAGAGTCAAGCAGGCGTCTGCTGAAGGCGGTGCCCAGGTCCTGAGGTCATTTGTCGGAGACCCCGAGAATGGAAAGGGGGATACTGAGCGAACTGTCGGCAAGCTTTCTCTCAGTGCATCGCCGGACCGGCCTCCGAGCAGCATCTTAACATCACGGATCTGGATTCATCTGTTAGAGATAGAGGCTTCTGTGAGGAAGCGAGATTACCTCATCAGCCAGGAGAGAGTAGTGAAGAGATGACACCCAGCGTGATTGACCCCCTGAGCTTTCGAGGAGTAAAGCGCCATCATAACCATCAGCTGATAAGATTTCAGACTGAGCATTCAGTGACGAAATCAGCCCTTGATGCTTCGAATGTGGATGATCCAGGTTGGAAGCTGCATCAGTCGGATGTTGTGGGATAACAGGACCGCCGCTGAGGGCGCGTTCAAGAAGTTGCTCCAACCGTTCGAGGCGGTTCTTGATCTCATCTTGACCAGTTTGTCGGTTGCTTCTTGACACTCTATTTCCACTTCCAAGATGAGAAGTCTGTGAAGTTGATTGTGGGTTGGTGTAAGTGCAAACACGGTTTCCTTTCTTACACGGTGAGCAAACTGGCTGTGCGTGATCACACTTTACTTTTCGATGGCGGCAGGTCAGACAAGCTGTAATGACACGCTTTCGGTTGGGTTGATTGACTTCGGAAGTGCCGGTTTGAGATTCCATTGCTGAGGCTGAGGGCCTTGGGATTGTAAGGCGAGTTAATATGACATGAAGCCAGTGGTGAGATGGATAATGAGTGAAAAGAGGTGAGTGGTGGGGAATAAGTCGCGCTTAGCTTATGGCCTGAGCGTTAGAGAGCGTCAGTCGATTCGAGCTGTCAAGCAACGGTTCCTATTGGCTCCACTGACGAGCATGTATCTCACAATTTGTATCAGCAAGGTTTACGCAGTCGTCAACTAGCACAATTAACGGTGTTATGGAACTTTCAATATGAAAACAAGAGATGCTGGGCAATTCTTTTACCAGCCAAATATCCCCCACGCAAGTTATGACCAAAATTCGATGACGTGATGAGTGTACTAGCGGCTGGTTCAAAGAAGTATGCAAGTCGCAACAAACATAACGGAATTTTCTACTCAGCAGGCAGTCAGGAGAATTGAGTTTATACTAGGAATTAATTCTCTACTACCCTGTTATCCTGTAATCTAAACATGTATCTGTTCATTAGAGCCCTGGTGCCTATGCAATATCTTTCCTGACATTTAGACTCATTAATAGTTAAGGAGTCCCTAAAACGCCAGACGGTCCTTAATTCATCTATCTACTATTTTAAGAAAGACTGCATACTGTTGTTGAAGACCCACATCTACCTTTCGTCCCTTTATTATTGCACTCTCTAGAATTTCATCTTCAAACAATTCTACATCTGAGAAGTAGGTGCATCTGCAAAAGTTGATATGACCTTACACTGACATTAAACTCACCAGGCGACGATCCACTAAAGTTTCAGTAAAGACTGGAAATAAATTCAAAAGCATCCCTGACAATGGAAGGCCAAGATGCGTCGATGAACGGCGGCAACCTGCCCGAGTCGTAAGTATTCGTAGCATAAGGTGCATGCTTGAATGATTCATTAACATCTTTACTGACCAGAAACTAGTCCCTACCTCTTCAGCACCGTCAAAATCATATTTGCTGACAACTCAATCTACTGGGTTCCGGTCCATCGTCTGGAGAGATATCCTAGGTTCAGGCTCTCCTACAACAGGGACAGAGATGTCGTGAAGCTCAACTGGCTGAATGAGACACAAACGGCTGAATTTATGAACTATCTACGCAATGGAAAATGGGAGATCCAAAAGCCAGAGGACTGGGACGGACCACTGGACTACTACAACAGGATGCAACAGTGTCTGTCAGTCCACGGCCTAGCTTTGGACTACGCAATGTACGAGCTCGCTAGACTCACATTTGGGGAATTCACCAGCATGGCTGGTCGACTATCAATGTTCAATGTCTTGGAGATGCTTCAAGCAGTCAACTTGACGCTTCAGAGCAACCAGACCGTTTCGGCCGACCACCTCACCGAGCGAGAACTAGTTGCTATGGGTGAGGAGGCCATCATGGCGGAACACATCGTAAGCTTCGAAAGACTATCACTAGTCGAACATTCTCCAACACCAGCCAACATTACTCAGGCTGAAGTAAGCGAGATGATGCACAAGCTCCAACGGTACCAAGAGAGGTTCGGACCTCTGGACTATGGAGACCCCGTCAAAGCAGAGGTCGCGTCTTCGGAGTAAGATAAAAATCAAAAGATGTTATTTCTGCTCCTCAAAACGCTAAGGGGATAAATCGTGAGTCTTTTCAAGAAGCTGGTGCCACGAGTTGCCACGGTTCTTGTCTAACGAAACAGATATGGAGGAAGAAGTCCTTGGGAGACTATGGGTTAGGATGATGCTGCATGTGCTCCCGAGATTTACTGGTTGTTGAAGGGGTTTAGACCAGTCTTTTGTAGTTCGAATAGCAAAATGAAAAGCCGGCTCGTATGGTTTAGAAGGCTCGAGAGATCACTAGGCCTTAGTAGTACTTCTGTGAAGACATAGTAAGTCAGGTAGGTCAAAGAGATGTTCCAGGATCCCTGCCATTTAAGAGCATATCTCTTAGGGAAAGCTAAATTGCATGCCAACAAGAAGCCAGTTAGAATTGAGATAGACCAACAGATGTGGAATTGCTTATTTCAAACTAATGAAACGGGAGGCTTCATTAGGATACTTACAGAACGTTTACTAATTTTGCACAATCCAAGCAGCAATGTTTGCTATGGAACAAAGAAACTTGTTTGCTTGCATACTTAACCTAAGATGATAGGTAGGACCTGAGGAAGGTGGGGTTTACCATTTGGGGGAGTGTTGTGCAACAATGGATGGTGTCATATAACTCAGCCCGTCTCAATTTTCTTCTGAGTTCTGACAAGATTCACCTGGACTTTCTACCCAGCTGCGGCAATGCGAAGACGACCAACTACCACCATGAAATGGTTGCTACTCAGTGACCTGCACTTCAAGCATCGGGATTTGGACCGGATACAACAGACAGCGCAATGGATTATTGCACAGGCAAAGAGGAATAACGTGGAGCGCGCGGTGATATGTGGCGACTTGCTCACCAGTCGAACCATGCAATCAACACAGGTGCTCTCCGCTTGCTATCACTTTATTAGCCTACTCAGCGACGTAGTACCGCGGATTCACATCGTGCTCGGAAATCATGACCTGGCTTACCGCCGCGACTATCAGACCACGGTTCTTAATGCCCTCAATATCAAGCGACTGGCTCCCTTCGTGTCGGTGCATAGTGTTGTATCCCATCAAGAATGGGACGGCCGGAATGTCTGCCTGTTGCCGTTTCGGGAGGATCAGAGCGAGCTGATAGACGCTGTCGCGGATTTGAGCCCCCAGAAGGCGAGTAAGACAATTGCTTTTGCCCATCTCGCCATTCACAAGGCAATTACCCAGCGATATGTGGTCGATTCTGGAGCCGATAGTCCTCGCCAGAACAGCGCCATAATGTACCATGGCTGGACAGGCCCGGGTGACTTTGCATCTCTTGCCCGCACGTTCACAGGACATTTTCACAGCCACCAGACAATCACCCAAACGCAATTCGGCAATAGGAAGGGCGATATGAGAGGAAGCATCACATACTTAGGCTCTCCTTTGCAGCTGAATTGGGCTGATCTTCATGACGACAAACGAGGCGTGGTCTTACTAGATCCAGAGACGCTTGAGCATAAACTGCTCACTAATCCATATGCCATAGGTTACACGACAGCTGATCTGCAGCAAGTTCTGGAAGATCAGGTCAACGAGAATGCGGTAAAAGATAAGCATGTCATGCTCACTGGCAATATTACTCTTCAGAAGTATGTAGCAGCTCGTGATAGACTTCTACGGCTAGGTGTGAGGAGCATTCGGGACTGGACCCCCATACAGTTTTCTTCACGTGCTGACCGAACATCATCTGTGGTTGTCGGCACATCAGTAACGGCGAATGATGTTGCTGCTCAGCACCTGGACGAAACACAGACAGAGGGAAAACTACCAGAGGATTCAAAGACCCTATCTTCAGGCTCTGGATCGACAACTGAACCTCACGCTGGAACACTGGATTTCTCGGTGGAGGTTCGTGATTATGTTGAGTCGCTGGAACTGGCTGAGTTTCTTGCTGCAAGAAAAGAGGAATTAGTGCGGGTCGGCCAGCGAATGATCCTTGTTTCATGCAGCATTTCCGACCAAGAAAAAGAGATAAGGATGACTCATAAAGACTTTCTCGATGAGTCGCCTCAAGCTGTCGGTATGGAAACTACAACTACGCTGGTAACGCCATCTACACACGCTTTCGTAGCACACCCACTCCGGCTTACTATCACCAACTTCCTTGGCATACAGAAGACCATTTCCATTGACTTTCAACAGGACATTCGACGCGGTTTGACCTTCCTAGTTGGCGATAATGGCTCAGGCAAGAGTGCAATTGTCGAGGCTATGGTCTGGTGCCAGTTTGGGCGTTGCTTACGCGGAAGGTTCGCCAACGACGTTGTCAACGACGACGCCGGTAAGAACTGCTCCGTTACGCTGGAGTTCACCAACGGATATTCTATTACGAGATATCGAAAGCACAAAATCCACAAAAACAGTTTCACCGTCTCATTACACGGTAACCCACAACCACAGCTCGCAACGCAAACTGCACTTGACGAACAACTTGGTATCGACTATGAGACATATGCGCGAACAGTCGTACTGAGCCACGAGAGTGCATCAAACTTTCTCAACTCAAAGCAGGCACAGAGATACGACCTGATCGAGGTATCGCTTGGGCTATCAGCATTGAATCAGTGTTCGCAGATATCGAAGCTGCTGATCAAAGATATCGATGCCAGCATGACTCGGGTGAATACTGAGTGGAAGGTTTTGGCCCAAACTATAAATCACAATGAGCATAGGCTACAGGACCTCCGCAAGAAACAGAAATTTTTAGAATCCGAGGTGGCGCATGCTTCCGAATCTCTAAATACAGCTTTAAGAGACCACCAAAGCAACAAAGTGCCGCCCGAACAACCTTGTGCAGGGTTCCAAGACAAGAGGCGGATGCTTCAGACTGAAATATCCAAAGAGGAGGAGAATCTATCAAGACTGAGAACTTCTTATCGTCAAATTTGGGAACGGCATCAGGATGAACGGCAGATACAACTGGAACAGCCCCAGCACAAACTCGCTCAGAGACTTGAAGCTATGGCCTCGACTCACCCAATAGGTGTACAAAAAATCTTTTTTGGCATCGGAATCTTCAGTCTTAAATTCCAGTTGGTGGTCACAAGGGTACTCCAGCGTATATTTGGGTTCCCCAAAGATGTCTTTCAGGACAAATGTTCCACTCGAATCAAGAACCAAGAGAATGCAGTCTACTCTTTGCGCCAAGGCATTGAGAAAAGCTTATCGAGGCTAGATACCTTGAGAGATCAAGAAACAGTTGCACTGCAAGTATTGAGAGATCAAGAGACAGCTGGATTTGAGTATACCAAGGCGATTAACAACTGGCTGGAACGACATATGAGGGCTCAAAGAGCATGTGAGACTTTGCAGCAAAAGGTCACCATCAAAAAGCACGAAGCAGCCACTTTTAAACAACTAGCCGAAGACGAGCAGTCGTCTCTGGTCGCCATGCGCTCCGAATTAAAAGTTCTCAACAATAAGCTCGAAGAGCTCGCCTCTGACCGCGAACTCTTCAACTTTTGGGTATTGGCCCTGGCCAAGCGCACTCGCCAAGCCTCTTCTTCCTCACCAGCGCTCAAAACAAAAGAAACATCAAACTTCCGCGAACACATACTGGCAAATTCGTTATCACAGCTGAACGACCTCATAATTCAAGCCTTTGCTGTGCTTTATGATGATACGCGCCATGCGAGCATGGCTAAAGGGATGCTACGTTCACTATTCGACTCTGAGTCTTCAAGTATGCCCCTGAGATCCGTTCTTGATCCCACCCTTGCTGTTGACTCCTCCATCGCCTATAACAAACGTTCAAGTGGCGAGCGCAAGCGTATAGACCTAGCTCTCTTCTTTGCTTTGTTGCAGTTGGCACGGGCGAGAAGCGCACACCGCGCGCAATTTGTGCTTATTGATGAAGTCTTTGATAACCTGGACCAGGCAGGACAGGCTGCTGTAGTCAGATGGTGTGGATTTATGTCGCAGGCAGTGGCTGGCTGGATCATAGTGATCACGCACAGTCAATTCTTGATCGAACAAAATCTAGCAGAAGAGACAAGCAAAGGCTTGGTTGTGCGAGCAAAGATGGGAGAAGAGGGAACGGAGTTGTTTGTTGATGGGAAAAAGCTCGAGGTCACTGAAACTCGTTAGGTTCCAGCTTGGCTTCGTTGCAAGGAGAGATACATTTGTGACGACAGTTAAGGGGCAGGTAGACGAACGCATGTTGGGTAGAAGTAACTGTGTTGCGGGTACAGGAATACTCCAAAGAGCCCACAACAATGAAAATGCCTTTAGATCAGATATCAATCAATTCCGAAATTTGAATCCTGGATTGGCAGTTTGCAGCTACCAACAATGTCCCTTCGACTTATTCTTATATATGATCTTCTTCAGCCGGAAACCTTAGTTCACAGCCCCTTTCTTCTCCGCGGGGTACCCCAAAGTCTTCCCATCATCATGAACTTCTTCCTGGGAATTGGCTTCGGAGTCTTCTGATATCACTTGCCGAGCTTTGGCTTGCCTCTTCCTATCCCAGGCAAGCAGAAGCTGAACAATGGCAGTCCAGACAACTGATGAGTCAGTTAGTATTGTGTACACTAGTTGATGGATCATGATCTCGTGTGACTTACTCAGTAGAGCGTTGAGCACGGTGGACCATGTATAGCCCTTTGTAGCCCTGGGGAAATCGGTAGTCTTCCAAACAAAGTTGGGAGCCACGGCTTGGACCACATAGGCAAAGTCGTTAGCCGCAGCTACTAGTAAGGCTCGCTTTTCGGTATCGGCGGAACAGATCTCGTTGATCCAGCTGAGAATGAGGGGGCCGGCACCGTTCTAAGAGATTTGTGAGCACGTCTGCTGATCTCCGCGAGGTCAAATGTGAGAAACTTACACCGATATTGGCAAACCAGTAAACAAGAGTTCGGTCTCTGTTGTTTCCGTAAAGAGGCATCTTGAGAAGAGCGATATTGAAAGCCATCTGCCAAGGGGTTGGTCATTGTATGTCTTGTACACCGAGACCATAGTGAACTTACAGCGATGATGGCACCAGCATGGATGAAAGGCCATCGGAGACCTTTCAGGGGTCCATCAGAAAGCCAACCCCAGAATAGGGCCATGACAATAAAGATTGCGGTCGACGGTAGAGGCAAGTTGTTGATCTGAGCGACGGAATACGAGGTGCCGGGTACGGGAGGAGGATCGGCGTTGAAGCTCTTGAGCCAGTATCCCATGGCGGGCTGAGGGTATGCATTGTTCCAGAGGACGTAGATCATAGCTGTTCCAAGGGTTAATAAAGGAAACAGCGCTTCTAGTAGCTGGTATCTTACGGAGGAAGTATGTATGCCAACTTAGGAGAATGGACTTGAGCTTAGCCTTTGTCCACTTCTCCTTTCCAGCTCGACCGATGGCGTTCATTCGTTCAATCGAGATCTCGTGCTCCCTTTCTGTAGTCCACCAAGTCTTGACTCCATCTTGAGGAAGGTTGGGGAAGAAGAAGTAGCCCGCAACTGCGAGGGGAAGGGTGATGATACCGTCGATGATGAAGAGCCAGCGCCCTATGGATTCGTCAGCACTACCCATCGAAGTAGGGGTGAGAAACTTACAGCCTGCATGTCCATGGACACCATTCAAGTTTGTGTAAGCAGCTGCCTGGAGGAAGCCACTGAACATGTTACCGATGCTGCCGGCCAACCAGAAGATCATAGCACGCTTTCCGATTTCGCGAGGGGTGTACCAAGAGCCAAGCATGTAGTGAATACCAGGGTAGAAGCCGGATCTGGGGCCGCGTTAGTCAATGGGATTACAAAAACATTGGAATGATTAGGTGGACTTACTCGAAAAGACCAACGAGGAATCTCAGAGCATACAATGCCTTGTATGAGTGCACAGCTGAAGTGCAGATAGTGGCAATGCCCCAACCAACTTCAAGGGATGGGATAACCCAGCGCGGCGATACTCGAGTAAGAAGCAAGTTCGAAGGGATCTGACCGACGACATAGCCCACAGTCCAAATGGATGTGCCTGCCGAGCGTGAGTTGGGCTCGGAGCAACTCTTGAATGGGTGACTTACTAGTAACAAGTTCATTGCCATACATGTTTAGCTCCTCCTTCATTCCACTCAGAAACGCATTGTTGACGTTTGTTTGATCGATGTTCTTGAGGAAGTACCCAATGGAGGCAAAAGTCAAGACAAAAGCGTCAACCTTGAAAAGAAGCCATCGCTGCTCCTTGGGCAACTCCCAAGTATCCCAGACATAGCTCTTCCAGGATTTGCCGCTCTTTTCGCTCTCTTCGTACTCAGTTGCTGAGTTATCGGTATCGCGATCGTAGCGACGGTCATCGACCGCAACAGCACTCGTCTGTTTGACTTCAGCCATTTCTGATGGCGTTTGCTTGGCAGGCACCCGTTGTTGCTTGGCGTAGCGTGGCTTGGGATCAAGGCAGACACAAGAAAGTCCCTGGGAAGAAGCCTCATACTTGGCGAGATCTGCACTTCTTTTTTATATGTCGCATCTTGCATGGTGGGTATGCAGTCATTGTTGCTAGCGATCGCGTCAATTGAGATGGGGTCCACGGGCGTTAATCGCTGCTACCCAACTTGACCGAAGTGAATGAAACTATGGACCGATTTAATCGATAGACAGCTGCAGCGATTATCCGAGTCGTGCTTTCTGGTAGGGTTGGTTGGCCGACGTCGGGACGTGCTATATGGTGGGTGTTGCGTGATTCTGGGGTTGATGACACCTTTGGCTTTAGACGGTAATAATGGTCGGGGTCCCTTATCTCTGGCCATAGCGCAAAACAACTTCGGACCCGAAGTGGGATATGTTCATAATGCTCTCATCTGAGATATCGAAAGTATTTGCCAATTTGGTCGTTGGTTGTGTTTGAGTGTCAATTGGCCAAGTGACTGGGATATCCAGGGCCCGAGAGATTTATAGTCTTAACGACAAAATCACTATTTAAACTGTTAGCCCAGAAGAAAAAGATAGGAGTATGAGAAAGATATGAAACTTTCGGGATAGAATTAGTAAGATACTTGTAGAGTCTCATTCATCTTGACTATACAACGCCAGTAACAAATGGTTCCGGAGTAGATGGTCTAGACCTGTTTTCCGTTCTCTATATCCGATAGCTAGTTGCATAATGCCTGCTACTGGTCGAAAAGTGGCGTCCAAGATGGCAACACCACCTCCTCTGCGTTGTATCCGTGGGGGTCGGCCAAGAGACGGGCAAAGTTGAGGACAAGGCTAACCGAGAGCTTGGGCTTCAATATCAGTAATTCTCAGACACAGAAAGGTAGGATTCGTTTCCCCCTTCTGGAGAAGCCCCACTAATGGAATGGCGTACCATGAACTGCTGTGAGCCTGACTTGAAGTTGTTAGAATCTCAGAGTGAACCCACTTTTTCTGTTTTCCATCCTCTTCCTCAAGCTCGATTCTCTGATAATAACGAAACGCGTCACGCAGCCAAATTGAAGTTCTTTAGATTTTTTAAGCAGCATCAAACCTGCTCTTTATCGTCCTTATACGAGTTATAGTACAACAGCTAGGCAAAGCGGAACCATTACCAAGCCTAGTTCAACTCGACAGGGGGTTGAGCACGCAAGTCCCATAGCTTATTCGCACATCGCTCTCGGCCCGGGAGACTATACCCGCAGCATGGCGGACCTGAGCAACGTCCCGTAAGTACATACCTGGTGACTGAACCATGTTATGATTGGTTGCTGACTGCTTCGAAGCTCTAGACGTTACAAGATCTTCAACAACACGAAAGAGGCGATCAAGATACCCGCTTCGCATGTCCTGAAGCACCCGACTTTTGAGGAGCAATTCACCAGAACCAGCCGTTCAAGGTCCCGACGCCTTGAATCCGGACGTTGCTCATGCATCATCGACATCGTCACAGTATTCCTGCGCGATGGCAGGTTCTACAACCTGCATACCGGCCAGTGTCGTTGCATTTGTAAGTCGACCAACTTCTTGACCCGCGCCGTCGCTATTTACGACTTTGCGGTCGAGTTCGAACTCTATGCACTCGTGGAGCTGGCTGCGGACGACATACCCAAGTTTGCCAAGCGCATGCAACCTGCAGACGTCCTCTGTCTCAAGCTGATGTATGGGGAACTCGTGACGCCAGAGGCTGATGGGACATCTGGCGACCCTCAGCTCTCGAATCATGAGAGTCTCCTTCAGGACCTGGCTCAATTGGTCATGTCTTTGGCCGATTAGCCCAGACTCCATGAGAGCGGGGTCTGAGACCATATGTCGCCCTGTCACTGTCCGTACATAGGAATGGAGTCACCTACACCTTGATGGCGAAGAACATCAGGCTGAAGAAATGGGACTAATGGGTTGTTTCTTTTATCAAATGACCTGTATTTCAACATCGTAAAAAAGGAAGAGACATATAGTACCAAAGATGGTCTGACATAAATGCCCCACGTGATGAAAGTGTAAGAGATGTATTTGACCAATAGGCATCGGAAACATGGCGTCTTAGGTTCCCACTGTTGTCCTATCTGTGACGTCTTGATCTATAATTCTCAGAATACTCCGCACCATACCAAACATTACTTGAGCATATCAAAGCTGGCAGCGCAAACATGTCGATCACTCACACTGTACTCTTTCAATTCAAAGACAGTGTCGACCAAAAAGATGTAACAAAAGTAAATGACACAAGCAAAGACTGTTTGGCCAATTGACTGACAAACCGACTCCTTCTAGACATGCGATGATTTCCTTCAACTGAAAGATCTGTGTATCCATCCTACAAGTAAAAAGCCGTACATTATATCATTACAAGGAGGCAAGGATAATTCGCCAGAGGGGATGCAGGTAACTCTACCAGACCATCGTTGCCTGAATCTGGTGCTAACAGATCGTAGAACGGGATAACCCATGGATTCGTTGCAACCTTCGAGTCGGCAGAACATCGTGACTACTACGTCAAGACTGACCCAGCCCACCAAGCCTTCATAGCTCAGGTCGGTGGTCTTGTCGAGAAAGCCATTGTGGTTGATTTTACGAATGGCGTCTACTAGAGTCAACTCAGCACTTTACTATTAAAACAAAGGCCTACATGTCAAATGAAAATCAATTGGGCACAGTCTTCTTATCTCACGTAGCCAACGATTCACAAGATCAGAATTAGCCAAAAAGGCCCAAAACCAGCATGAAGATGAAGAAAATACTGGAACCAAAGCGGCATCCATTTATAGCAACGCCATCCATGCGTCCGAAACACAATCCAAAGGTCTTATGGTCCTTTCCCAGCTGAACATCTTGCACGCTTGCTCAAATAGAATTTATGTAAACAGACATATCCGGATCTTGGTGACCTGTCACGGCGCCTAGTCGACGGGTAAACTCAAAGCCGGGCGCTTAAGTCACGCCAAATTCAGATCTTGTACAGGGGGCTAGCACCATCCAAGTCCACCTACGAGTGGATTCTTTTCACAACACCGGGCTCCTTATTTTCTCGAGATCAAATTGCAGAAATATTGTTCCATCAGCTAAGATGTCGTTTCAACCAACGAACAGATCATTACCCGGCTCGGGCTCAGGCGGCATCCAGACTGGTGCCGGTCTCAGACAACTTGCGATGCATACCTTGGACGAGCCCCATCAAGACACCGTAAGGAGTTCGATTGCCCGTATTCTTGATACAGACGTTGCAGAAATCACATATGCTCAAATCATTGACGGGTTGCCTCTGGGCGAGGTTGCGTTTGAATCAAGAGGGGGAATGCCTCACGATGACCATCCTATCAATCATTGTCACGACAAGCTTTGCGATGGGATTTTGAATAGGACACGAGAGTTTCACAGAACTTTTGACCCTGCTGTACTTCAATTTGACTCAAGAGTGAGCATAGATTCCCGTATAGTCTTTATCTATATCAACAATTAATGCCGTGTGTTAGCTTCTCCTTACATTCCAGGCTGCTTCTCCTGGGTCACGATCTTTCAATACACGTCTCATCGAGATAATTGCGATAGCAGTTCATCAAATTGCCGCACTTCTCTATGGGCTTGAAGAAGGACTGCACAAGAACGATGGTGTCATTGAATGGGCACCGCCAAAGTCTGACAAGATCTGGTGGGCGCACTGCCCAAATGGTCCTGAACCTACGATGTTCTTCCACCCTTGGTATTTAAGTCACAATAGGTACCCCAACGGGATAGCAGACATGGTTGGATATTGGGCTGAATCCAGAATTCTCGGTGGTGTCGTTTTATTCGACCGGCGCCAGCCAGTACCAGGCTCTGGCGTGGACCAGGATGCTGTATACATTCACCCTGACAGAGACGACGTAACTTATAGAATCTGTCGCTTGACGTCTGAGCAAAAGCTGCAGCTACTTAAGTTTCTTACTGCCGAAGAGCCAGGCCAGAACCCTCTACCAATTCTGCCTGATGAGAAAAACGATTACCGCATTGATCCGGAAGAGTCTCCCGAGGAAACTGGGATATACAGGGATATATGGGATCGCTCAGAACTTCGTGAAGATGCGTATGATCAAAGACTGAGGGATGTTTGGAATAAGCTGGATTATCTCACTCATAGTGACAAAGGCAATGCTGGAGACCGAGCAGTAGAGAGAAGAAACCGGATTTTCTACGCATATTCTGATGACGAGGCCTGATAAGGTTTTACAGAAAAGCTCATAGCATATTTAAAGCATCCAAAGCATAACATTTCATGTAATTCAGCCGGAAATAGTGCATGTCAGCATAAGTGGCATGTTACTTGCTTTAGTACTTAGCTGGGAGCTTGGCCAAGGCTACCTTAACTATGGCCAGCAACCAGGTACTTCTGAAACTCACCGAGTTCCTCAGTGATGAGTGCCGACAAGCCTGAAGTTACCAGTAAGAGGCCTGGAACGCCATCAACTCTCCAGATGTGGTTAGTGTAGGCCTCTGAATCTACGACCGGCAGAAATGATACTGCCCTGAATGTTGCCCTATGTGCAAGAAAGTCCCTTGCAATGGAGGCCCACCGTGAATCAGAAAGTCACGAGGTTCGTCATCCCACCTATTTCAACTGCGTTTCTGGCTCTTCTCATCTTCTTTCTTTCACCATCCACTCGTCCCCATCACCATCACTATGGACAACGACAACACCATGGAGGGCTTTACTTCCAGCCGCAGCCCAAGCAGTAGTGCTCACCCTTCCTCCACTACCCTTGAGGAAAAGAAAGAGGCCCATCATCTTGTCGTCAAGGGCGAGTACCAGCAAGAGGGTAAGTTGGCAGTCAAGAATCGACAGTTTACGCATATGTGACAAAGCTGAATATTGCACAGTCCTCAAGGTTGCTCAACGCACCTATCCGAAGGAGCTTCCTCCTGCCAAGAATACCATGCTAATCCACCACATCCGTGTCTCTGGTGCATATACCGATGCCCGTGATGGATTCGCGGCCATCTCCCAGCCAACTGATCTCGGTTGGTCTGAGGTCCACTGCCTGTACAAGTACCTTCTGGCTTTCGAGCTTAGCCACCCTGATACCATGACGAGGGGCCACCTCACCAAATACGGGGATCTTCACTACTTCTTGACCGCTGTGTTCTTCAACTGGGATACTGGAAAGGAAATCAAACCGCAACCTGTCCTTCCTGAGCGAGCTTTCGACGACTATGCTAAAGATGTCGGCCTGCTCATCCGTGACCTCGACCCCATCGTCAACAAGGATGGGTCCCTGGATGCTTCCGGACGCTGCATGTGGGACCAAGCTTACTTGGCTTTCATGGTCAATCAGAAAACCCTGGAGTGGCAAGTCTCTTGGGTGGATTGTAATGGAAATTCTTTGAAGCGGGAGGACGTTCAGCTCTACGACAAGTACAAGAACAACTACAATGAGGCTTTCAATGCAACCATCGAGAATTTCGACCGAAAACAAAACCAGCGAATCATGGCCTACAACTAGAAGCTTGCCATCCACGCTAGTCGCAAGAAGGTCATGGAGTTCCATGAGAATGGCTTTAAGATGTACATGAGCATCCCTAGCCACGAAAACATCGACATCGAGAGGTGCTGGCTCGTCAAGCACCACTTGCCCAACTTGGGCAAGTCCGTGGATCACGAGCTCGACTACTGAGCATCGGGAGTTTGCAACTAGGTATTATGGCTTGTAGGTGATGCTCTCATAAGGTTACGTATCCATCGGTTGCGGAAAGATAGCAAATCAGGAGCTAAGAAGCACAAATTGCCACAATGTGATACTGTCCCTATCTGCTTGCTGTCATTATTCCACTGTGAAGAACAACCTCGAAATGCAAATGTGCTTGTTTCTGACTCGATCATTGTCGTAATGTTTGTTGTCGAGTATTACATATTGTGTAAGATCTGTTCGAAGCTCTCTACCTCAATCGTCGGAGGTCGAGACCATCTCTCTTTGAGACTCGCAACATCACTCTGTCTTCCTCCGCTAACATTGGACGAAACAGCGAAGACCGAAGTCTTTAACCAAACTTCCTGACTCGGCTCTAGCTTTCCTGTGATGCCTATGGATGCAACGGGGATCAATGTTCGCTGGCAAACGATGTTCGTGTTGGAGTCTGGCTTCAGTGCGAAGCTCTCCACATCGACCGTTTGTCTATCGAAAAGGGCTTCAGTCAGAATTCCACTGGACCCAGATTTAGACGAGAGAATTGTGGATCTTTCATCAGAGAAGTTTCCCTCGAAACTACCGGGGATGACTCCGTCAGGTACTGGAAGTGTTGGCAAATTCATCCCATCAGCATCTCTACGGCCATTTATGGCAAAACCTCCTTCAACAATGTGAAGCGACTCGATAGTCTTCTGGCATCGTATGCGGTGCATTCGAACATGCCAGTCCGGCCATTGCCCGGTCGGCGGGATCAAGATCGTATCCACAGCCACGGCTCGATCACCCCAAGGATACCATCTCACGCTCGCGATGGAAACATTCGCCACACTCTGGTTATCCGTCTTTGTCGTCAGAATCCCAAACTTGACTTCATCGCACTTCCACTTGACCGCCCAAGTCTCACCACCATCTCGGCTCAGTGCCAGTTGGTTGTCTGGTGCAATCTGTTGGATGAGGGGGCCTGTTGGAACGGAGAATCCGAAGGCTGAAGAGTAGGCAAACTTGCAGTACTTGGCTTGATTGGCTTTCATAGGCCAAGCAACGAATTGCCCGGGAGTGAGCATGAAGTGGTGATTGCCTCGTGGGTGGTTACACAAGATTTGTTGAGGAGCTCGGACGACTTGTGTAGGGGGTTCAAAGGAAGGATACGGAAGTGGTTCGGAGTTCCAGAATTCGTCGTCGGCACTCAATCCAACAGCTATGAGTGTTTTGAGGCACCAGTATACGGATTGGGGAGAGTTATAGTCTTCAGCCATGTACATATTTCTGGCCGTTGTTAGTGGCACCTCTGGTCAGTATCACGGTCGACTTACGGATACAGCCATCCAATAGTAAGAGTGCCATCGGTTGAGAAGATGTCACTAGAATTCTGTGCCCACCACCTCAGATGTCGGGCTAGGAACCCCTTAATTGCTCCTGGTGAATCAAGCGGCTTAGGCATATTAGGCACCTTGGCAAACGCCAGCGCGCCGAAGAAGCCTCCGCAGGCGAAGCGGTATGTGAGGGATCTACCGAAGGGAATCGAAGACCCTGTGCGTTGTTAGCTTAACGTGTATATTGTTTGTGTCTGTGGCATAAGGTACCCTGAGAGTCGAAGTATCTCCAGAAATGGGTTCCAAAGTCCCTGGCTCGTTGTTGATACATCTCACAACGCGATTTGTCTAGATCGGCAGCGAATTTTGAGTAAAGGACCTGCGAGAACTGAATGGCGAAACTACCAGAATAGTAGTCTGCTTGTCGTCCTGTTCCCACAGTATCTCGACGTCCGGTCTTCTCAGCCAGCTCCTGTTCTTGTCTCGCTTGCTCGACTGTCTGCCAGGGACCGTCTGCTGACCATCCATCTCCGATGTAGAAGCTATCTAGCAGCTCAAGATCCGAGTCCATCTCTTCCTGGACTTCTGAGAACGGGACGCCGCAAGTCTTTAATAAAGCAAGGTTGCAGAAGACTCGAAACCAGCGCCAATTTGTCGGTGGCATTTTCTTGCCGCGAATGGAGTTCAACCAGTTCTTCAAATTCTTCTTTTGGTCTTGGTTCAATGGCTCATAGAAACGCTTCGGTGCTGCTATGAGAGCAAATGCTAGCATCTCTGCCTCCACCATTCTTTGGTCCATATCGTTCATGGCGCCCCAATACTCTGGATGGTGAGGGTCGGTTCCCGCGATGAAGCCGTCGACCCATGGCTGAACTAGTTCATCTACACGAGCTGCCAGGTCTTTGTCGGTGATAGAGTTATATCCGAAAAGCAATGGCGCTATCGCCCATAGCGGCCTTGCAAAGCCTTCTAATTGTGCCGCCGACTCATCGAAATGTGCACCTGTCGCAATTGGAATACGAACGCGAGACTTCCCAGGTGAGAAATATTGTTTTAGGGGATTAATCAACGCAATTATGGCTTCAATAAAGTCATCTCGGCTTTGGAAGGGGTTATCGGAGAATCCTGGTAGTGGCGGCATTTTTGTGTAACTCGGGCGAGGTTGGAGAACAAGAAATTCCGGTTACACAAAGTGAGAGAGATTAAAACAGCACAGCACAACGAGGAGAAGCAAATTTTCGGATTCTTCAACTTAATCACCATCAACAGCACTTTTGACTCACGACACGATAGAACCGAGCTCTCGACAATTGATCAGCTCCAGTCTCGGGCGTCGGCCCATTCACATCCGAAGCCACCATCAGCTGATGGTGATGTCCAATCATTGGCTCGCTTGCAACACCATCCCCATGGGGTAATGGATCCAGGGCTTGTTTTCGGCCAAGGATCGACAAACGAACGCCTCCTCTTCCCCGAACTCTCTCGTTATTACATAAACTATGCGATCCCTCGGGCAGCGGGCGAACTCTATAATCACACAATCACAAGCGAAATGGACCATCAGAGTGTACAGTTAGGTGGAGCTGGCAACAGGCCTGCTGCTGGAGACCCCGGGCCCGAAGTCCCCTCGTGTCAAGGATGTCGGCGGCGAAAGCTCCGCTGTTCCAGAGACAAGCCAATGTGTAATCATTGCCAAAGATTGGGTATGTCCAGGCATCCAAGGATGAGATACAGTGACTGACTTGCGTAGACTCGCCTTGTGTATACGACACGAAAAAGAACAAACCGGGGATCAAGGCTGGTGTCATAGAAGGCTTGAACCGCCGAGTTGGTACGTAGAACGGTGGCAATTGCACTCTCAACTGACCAAGATCAGAGGCTCTGGAGAGCACGGTATTTGACAACGCGCAACCTCCCAATCCAGCTCCTTCATCCGAGTCTTCGCAAATTATTGGAGCCTTCTCCAGTCTCATTCAGGAACTTCGAGGCTTGGTTCACAACTCGGCGGGCTCGTTGTCATTGCCGCCCGCCCAGTCATCAATAGCCCAAGCACAACACGCAACACCGGGATCTGTAGCTCTCTCATCCCCAAATGATGTCCAACATCAACCGCGAAAGAGACGAAGAGTGGACAGCTGTGGCAACCCGAACATAGAACTAGTCAGCCAGCTCAATGAGTTGGGAAGCACTTCAAGCCAATTACCCCCTGCTGAACTCCTCGAAGAAGTCATCAACGCGTACTTCATCCTGGTTCAACCATGGATACCCATTCTACACGAAACACGGTTCAGGGGCCGCTTCTACAGCCATGAGCAACTGCCCTGCCTCACTGTGCTACTGCATGCAATAGTAGTCGCTGCCATTCGCTTTGTCGATACAGAGAATGGGAAGATGTCTGAAAAAGAGCTAGAGACATGGACCTCTAGATCTAGAAGCATAGTACTTTTGTCAGCTATGGACGGCATGTCGGTCGAGAACCTACAAGCCCTGAGCATCATAGCGTTCACAGATGTAAGTACGCTGTATTTATTAGCAAGCACGTCTAACTAGGGGCTTTTCCAGATGGGTAATGGAGACATGTCCAGAGCTTGGCCTATCATAGGCTCACTTACAAGGACTGTTGAGTATCTTCAACTCAGCGTTGAAACAGACGACCGACAACAGGGACCCTTGCTAAAACCCCTGACCTCTTTGTCACCATCGCAGAACTGGACTCAAGAGGAGGAGCGGAGGAGAGTATTCTGGAGCATCTTCAACCTTGACAGGTAGGCTTACACCATCTAATAAGTACAGACACCAGCTAACCGCTTAGGCTTTGCTCTGTGATGACTGGGTAAGATAACACAAGCCAAAAAGTAGTTGGTTCAAACTTACAAGCTCAGATGGAACACTAGCTTGACATCCGACGATGTTCGCAGACGATTACCAGCAGATGGGGGCCTATGGCACAAAGAAGAAACAGTACTGACTCCCTACTTTGGTATCTGGGATCGCTCAGCCGCAAAGATGGGGAATTCGATTGTCTTCCTTCCAGCACACTACCCCAGTCCTGACCAAGTCGCGGAAGCGCCACCTGAGACACCATCGACGAACACGACAGCACCCAAGGGCAATGACACAGTGGATATGACAACTGTCGGGGCGTTCGCTTATTGCATCGAGGCGACAGAGTCTTTGAGTCGAGTTACTACTTACTTTCTTCAGCAGAGAATTAACTTCAGGGATCGTCAAGAAGTCGGTAATTGGCTTACCAGATTTAAGGAGCTGGATCTACGCCTTGTCCAGTAGGTCTCATTCTTTTTCCTTGAAACCACTTACTAAAAGCTATTTCAGCTGGAAGATGTTTCTCCCTCAGAAATGGAAAGACTCCAACATCTCGCGGAGGCCAACCATTATCAACATGGATCCAAACCTGACATTGGCCCATATCACTCACAACACCTCTATGATCTTACTGCATCAGCAGATCGCGTATCCATCACCTCAATGGACCAGTATTGTACGGATGCCCAGTGCCCATAGCGCAGAGACATGTCAAATCGCTGCGGCGGAGACGGCAACAATTACGCGCAAGTATCTCAAGTACACACCAGAAAACAGCCCTGTTAATAGCCAGTTCGCTTTCTGTGTGTTTGTCAGTGCTCGCGCATTGCTTGGTAAGACCTTTTCACCAATCCTCAAGGTCTTGGACTGATGATTCCGTAGTGCACTGGAGATTTTACAAGACTGATCTAGCCCCTGAGTTCTGGGTTCTAGTCGAAAGTCTCGATGACTTTTCTAAGAGATGGGCGGGCCCTTTGTCCCAATCGAAATCCAAATCCTCCTTGCCCGGGAAGTATAGCGCTCAACTACGCGCGCTTCACAGGAAATGCGCGGAGGATCCGGATTATTCTCCAGATGTCGTTGGATACTCGACCGATGGTTTTGTTACGCAGACACCCAGTTACCTCCGCGAAGGACAAAGTGACAATCAGCACAGCAGCCAAGCTCAAGCCGGAGTAGCATCCAGCGCGTTGCAGAACTCGTTTGATAGCGGGTCCCGGAGATCTATTCTCAATCCTGGTCCTCCAGGTAGTCATCTCAACTTCCTTCCCCAGATATCTCCTACCAATCCCGGAGTAGAGCACAATTCACCAGATGAGCTATCAGCGATCTCGACGGTTCTTATGGATCAGGATTTCATGCAGTTGGATCGAGTCATCAGCTTCGATGACATGATGTTTACGGCTCAGACGATTGACGATCAAGGGGGGCCTTTCTCCATGAATAACTGGACATTGGGATAACGAAGGAATATCAAAACTATATTATGCCAAGTAGATGCATCTCTTCACTAATTCTCCATATTAAATTCCAGGAGATACGTCTATACCAATCCCATCTTCAACAACCTGTTCCCAAACTCAATCAAGTAGTAATCCGCATAAACCAGTCCGTGATCCCAATATCTCTTGTAGTCTTTGGCATTGTGATTCGCAGTGGCGTTCTTCAGAATAGCCTCAAAGTGAGCTTCGGGCTTCAAGTCCTGAACCTCGAACTTTCCATCTGAGCCCAACGTCACTTTCGACTTTTCCTGTGCAAGGGAGAAGTCAAGCGTGTCCTTCACGATTCGAATCGCCATTGATCGATATCTCTCACTCAAGTCGGGTGATCCACTTCCAGCTAGAGCTTGCGAGAGAACAAGCATACCATTTGCGGCAATAATGCCCGCTGAAGAGTCTCTCAGGGGTGCGAAAGTATCGATTGGGGCATCGAAGTCCCAAAGAGGAACGTATCGACCCTTAGTGCGGCTCTCTCCAGAGACAGGAACTTCGACACAATCTGGGGACTTGAGTAGTCTGAAGATGAAATATTCAGCTAAACCAATAGCTGCATCCAGAAACTCAGGATCTTTGGTCCAGTTGTACGTCTGCGAGTATCCTAGGATACCCCAAGCCTGTCCGCGAGCCCAAGTCGAGTCGGCTGCGTAGCCTTGGCCAGTTCTCTTCTCCTTGACGGATCCGTCTTTAGGATCGAAGTTGACAACATGAAAGGTGCTGTACATGGTTCTTCCAACAGATTCATCTGTCTCCTTTCGTAACAAAGCCTTGATCAATGCCTTGGCGTGAGCTGTTGCTGCTTCAGCCATTTCAGTCTGGCCAGTCTGTGCAGCTGCGTAATACAGCAGGTCGAGATTGCACATCGAGTCGATAATCACCAAAAAGTCCTCTGTCATGCTGGAAATGTCGACACCATTTTGCGACAGGACATCCCATGATCTGATAGCGCCGATATTGGCGTTGTATCTTGAGTACAGTGAGCGCGCGGCAGTGATGATAGATTCAAGGGCTGTCGACTCATGTAGAGTCTCCCAACGAACTCTCATAGACGGCTGGATCATGAATGACATGTCGTGGGTATCTGTTCTCTGGGCATACTCATGAAGAGGGTCAGACCAAGCTCGTCCGACAGCAAGGAGTTGCTGAAGCAGTTGTTTCTTGTTGGAGTCTCCAGCTGAAGCTTGGGGATACTTGATGAGACGCTCGATCAGCGAGTATATGGAGCCTGGGAAGAAGCCGCATGTCCAGAAGAGCTTCTCACGAAGGATGTATTTTCCAGCATCTGACCCAGTTTGGGGGACATATTCGGGGTATGCCAACGGAGGGTTCTACCAATGTAAGTGAGGCATTCACGCCGAACTGAGGAGTGCTTACGTTGTTCACAAGGCCCGACTCTGCGGCGTGGAGGATCTTTGCTGTGATATTGTCCTCAAAAAGCTCCGAAACGATGGACGATATCGACGCTTTGTGAGGCTTGGCAAATAAGACACCATTCTTTGAAGTAGTCTCATTGCCATTTGTGTGGCCATTAGTGTGGCCATTAGTGTGGCCATTAGTGTGGCCGTTGATACCGTTGGAAATAGTCATGATTTGTGGTACTGAAGAGTGATTACGGGTAGAGTGTGTAGGTTTGATTGAATTGTTTAGTGTTGGTTCCTTTAAATGCTGATCACAATTGATCTGCAGTTGTCTCTTGTCTTAGACCTCAGCCTGAATATGAGATGCCCGAAACTCCGAAGGAATTAGCCCGAGACTTGGCCCGATGCCCGCTGCATGCCTGTTGGTCATCGCAGTGGGTCTCCTTCTTGACGCCAGCATCGCTGCGTCGAGTCGAAGCACTCAAAATGGGAACATGGCAGATGTGGTAGCCAAACAGTAACAAGATAACAGTATATATATTTTTTATCGTTGATAATACAAAGAAAATAATCTACTATGTTTTCCTTCTGTTGCCCGACTTAATACCTATGGTCAAGGTCCTTGGAGTAAAACCTGACTCAATGGCCCTCGGTGACGATCCAGTTTTGTTCCACGCCTGTTCGTTCTTCAAAGAACTTTGGACATCACAGGCCATGAGATATTTGGCAATCGCATAAAGAGTAGATTAAAATCGCTATATAGTTACTATATACGCTGTATGAAAACAACCCAGAGAACAAATACGCGTCTAAATGTCGCGTTCTGTTTTGCCCAACAATACGCGTTGTAGCTTCAGGGTAGCCAGCTCGCCTTGACCAATCACTGGCCCCGTTAGTCAAACTAATCTCAACACCACTAACATTAATATTTGACGGCTCCTTATATGCCACTATGACGTCCCTGCCCACCCAAAGAATCTCTATATGAACTCAAAACTGTATCCACACATCCAACTTAATCACAGAATTCCTCAAAAAATCATACCATGGCTTCAACGAAGAAAAAGAGACGGCTGTAGGATCATCGTAGTGCTGAGAGACGCGACCAAGATCTCAGGAAACTGGACATCACTGAATTCTACTCAAATTAATGGTAAGAACGATCTATTAATATGATGAGTGCTATGTTGATAGTCTAATTGCGCAGTCTAAGGTTGCTATACAGTCTATGATGATATCCGAATGAAAAAAGAACTAATTTTAAGACCTGAATGAATCAGGTTGCGATGTTACTCCTACTCCGCCTTCTTAGAAGTCTTGGTTCGAAGCTTCATTAGGATGTAAACAAGAGCATACGAACTGAAGACAAACGCAGCTGTGATGCCGGCGTCCCTCCAGGCGTATGAGTACGACTTGAGGTTGAGAGTCTTGAGGTAGTCATCAGCCTTGCTGTAAGTACACACCTTACACTCGTCGGTCGCATCAGGGTTGATCAGCTTGCTGGGCACGTGCGTAAGCCACTCCTTGAGGTATTCACCACATGTAGTACCGTTGGGAGGGCTGAACCGAGCAAACTCGCTTTCCTTGCACTTGACATCGGCCCCCCACATGTCAAACACCAGCATGCTACCCATGAGGTAGTTGAAAGGGTTGATGTAGTAGAGCCAATATTTCCAGAAGTCCTGAATGCTGGAGTATGGTACCAGAACACCGCAGAAAGACACCAGTACAGTGAGGAGAAGAGGATTGACCAGTGATGCGAAGACCTCGTTTGGCGCGTAGGCAGCAATGAACTGACCAATGCCAGTGTAGATGAACTCATACATAAGCATGACGAAGAAGGTACCGCCAGCGCGGGTAGAATCGCCCGGGAAACCGACGGTGTAATACCAAGCGACGTAGTAGATGACAGCACAGATGATCAGGTAAGGGACTTCTGAGACAATCAGGCCAGTCACAAAAGCGACCCAAGAGTACATCTTTGACTTCTTCTCACGGGTCTCGAAGATGTCTCGGCGATGGATGAACAACGGCTGAAGCTGAGCCATGACACCGGGTGCGACAAAAATGAAGTTGAAGACTGTAAACAACTTCAACTGAAGTTCAGCGACAGACGATCCAATTTGCCAAAAGGAGAAGCCGTTGAAGAGGGCAGAAGACAAGTGGAGAGCGAACTTGTTGTTGATGTAGTCTGTGTTGCGATACAAGGCGATGTTCATGCGATGGGTGACGAGCTTGGTTTGCTCCCACAGAGAGGTAGCAAATTCGTAACCATCGTCGGTAGTGGCCGGGGGCTTGGAAGCAGCTTCGCTGATGATGCTATCGAGCTCTTTCTCAACAGCATCGTGCTCAGGGGAAGACAGCCAGACCTGGTTCCAATCCTTGCCTTGGGAGAGATGTCCGGAGACGACGTCAATCATGTGCTCGGCAGGGTTGACATGCTCTGGGCAAGGAGCTCCGTAGCGACCAAAGTAGCCAGTGACCGTGTTGCCATGCTCGCCAATGTCGCCAAAGTACACTGTCTTACCGCCCTTGGCGAGAAGGAGAAGGGTATCAAACTGAGAGAAGAGCTGGGCAGAGGGCTGGTGAATGGTGACGAGGATTGCCTGACCGTGAGCAGCCAGCTTGCGCAAGAAACGAACGGTGTTATATGCAGATTGTCCGTCAAGACCAGAAGTAGGCTCGTCAAGGAAGATCAGAATGCTAGGCTTCGAGACCAGTTCGACACCAATAGTAACACGCTTGCGCTGTTCGACACTCAGACCGGCACCGACTTGGCCAATCAGGGTATCGGCAAGATCATGAAGCTCCAGAAGGTCAATGATAGTGTCAACATACTTGAGCTTCTCCTCACGAGGAGTGTCACGGCTTTGTCGGAGAAGGGCAGAGAACTCTAGAGCCTCGCGGACGGTAGCATAGGGTTCGTGGACATCAAGCTGCTCACAGTAGCCTGCAGAGCGCTGGAAAGAAACCGGTAGGGGCCGGCCATCAACCATGATAGAACCCCGAATGGTACCCTCAGTCTTGCGTTGAGCCAGAACATCAAGCAGAGTAGTCTTTCCAGCACCCGAAGAGCCCATAAGAGCACCCAACATGCCTGGCTTGACCCAGCCTTGAACATTATCGAGAAGAGTGCGATCACCTTGAGGAGTCTTGACAGTATAGCTGAGGTTCTTCCAGGTGAACACTGAGGTGTTGCGGACCAGACCCATTGCTTCGCCGCTGGTGTCGGAGTCATCGCCAGATACAACACCACCATCACTGCTGCCCACGATCTTCTTCTCACCCTTTGTCTGTCCCTCCTCATCAGACTGACGAAGAGCAGCGGTAATGTGAGCGTTCTCGCGAGGGATGACCAGACTGGGTCCGTCCTCAGACGAAGCGTGCCACTTGGTGGTGAAGTAGATGGTGATGGCAACGAAGAGAGCCCACCAGGCCCAAATGATACCGAAGTTTCTCCAAAGATGGTCATGGCTGTAAGAAAGAGATGCCAGGTAGTCATCGCCAGTAACGAAGTTCACTCCAGCCTTGGCTCCACCTACGCCAGAACAAGCCTGGTGATCGCCGTTGGTGAAACCAGCACCACTGGGTACAAGACTGTGCCCAACACAAGGAATGATCTTGTCATGAAACTCATTTGACAGAAGAGCGTCGAAGCCGTAAGCCAAGGGGTTGATCCAGAAGAGCCAGACAAACCAATCGTGCATCAGAGGCTTGCTGATGAGATAGCCAGAGTACATGATTGTGGCGCTGATGAGAAAACCCGAAACCTTGGAAGCGGCATCAAATGTGCTGAAGGCCGCGCCGACAGCTCTGAAAAGGGCCGTAATACACTAATGATATGTGTTAGTACTGAAGGGATAGTAAGTAGGAGCAATACACTTACAATTGTGATTGAGACGAGAAGAACCCAGAAGGTGAAGAAGTGTCCAGCCGAGGCGGTAAGGCCAACCATGAAATACTCAACCACTGAAAAGGTGCTGACCTGCAACAGAATTACAGGTATATCAGCAGCAATCTGAGCGATACAGAAGGCAGCAGGGTGGTACATGGCAAATGATTTGTGCTTGAGAAGAACGGGGCGTCCGGTAAAAGAGTCAGTGACCTCAGACATTGAGACCAGGGAGTTACAAAGAAGAGCGATGAAGACAGCGCCTGATTTGATGAAGAGGCCGCTTGAGTCGTCAGAGGCATTGTAGAATAGAGAGCCAGCGATCAAAGCCTGTACGATCATGGAAAGCTGCTTGATCAAGAAGGTAGGCTTGTCTCCGAGGACAATCTGGTACTGACGCTTCACACAAGCTTTGGCCTGTGAGATGAACCCGACCGTCATGGGGCTGCTATCGGGGAGCTTCTTATCCTTCAGCTGACGGACACCCAGCTTGAATTGCTTGGTCCTTTCGTCGGCGATCGCCGAAGTAGGATAGTCGTACTCGGACTTCATGCGCTCGTAGATGGGCGACTTCTCGTACTCTGCTCGGAGAGCGTCTGCGGTGCGTGGGAAGCGGTTCTGGTGATCGGGGTGGATCTGTCGCTCGGTTGGGACAGTGACACCGGTGAGGTAGTCTGCAACGTTGGCACCGTGCTGGCAGATGAAGCCCATGCTCTCCATGAAGGGCTTAGCTTCCTTGAGAGGACCGTAATAGACTTCCTTGCCTTCGTCGAGTACGAGGACCTTGTCAAAGAGATCGTAGATACCGTTACCTGCCTGGTAGAGAGTGACGATGGAGGCGAGACCCATCACATCGGTCATGGCGCGGATGGCTTTGGTGTACTCGAGGGCACTGCATCGAATTAGACAAGAATTTAAAGGGTTTCAGTATCAGTACTTACGTGCTGGCATCGAGACCACGGGTTGAGTTGTCCCAGCAGAAGACGGAACCCTGCGTTGCCAGAGTCTCGATGATGGAGACTCGCTTTCGCTCTCCTCCAGAGACTCCACGAATGAAGGCGTCACCGACCTTGGTGTCGATAGTGTGCTCAATACCCATAGATTTGAGCAAGAAGTCCCTTGACTGAACCCTCAGCTCCTCATGCGAGCTGACACCATTAGGTAATTGGAAAGGCACCTTGAGCCGAGATGCGAAGTCCATGGTCTGGCCAACAGTCAAAGCTGGGTAGAAGACTTCCTCTTCGGTGTTCATGACGATCTGGCCTCGATAGGTCTTGGCCTCCTCGGCAGTCATGGATCCATAGTGGACATCACCCTTGATGTTGGCGTATCCCCGTCGTTTGTTGGCGATCATGTTGAGAAGTGTTGTGCAGCCTGAGCCAGGACGGCCGAGAACAAGGAGCATCTCACCGGGCTTGACGCAGCCATGGCTGTTGTCGAGGATGGTCTTGAGAGGTGACTTTTGGCGAGACTCTTTGATGAGCTTGGGGATGTTGTACTGGGACAAGACGTTCTCGTGGATAGCGGCATCAGCAGCAATGACATCGACGGTGAGGTTGGTCCAGGTGACACCAAGCTCTCTGTCAGGGAAGCCAGATGCCTTGTCTCTCTCTTTGTACTCTACCACTTCAGACTTCATAGACCATTCGGTGTCATTGTGGGAGATTTCCTTCATTGGTGTCGGTTCATAGACCGTTCGCGAGTCGATACTGTCAGAGTCCATTTTGATGGTGTTGCTGTGTTGGTGGTGGACTGTATGTTCGCCCTGGCTAAGAGAGGATAGCCTTTACCGCCGAATTGCGCACCGAGATTTTGTCTTTGATATCGAACAAAACTCTAAAGAACAATAATTATAATTAAATGGTCTCTGTTACTGCATGTTTTTACAGGGAAAGTGGTTGCATGCTTCTTATAAACAACAACACGTTTTGACAGGCATCGGCTTTACAGACTGACGGGCTTTTTCGGCGTCCGACAGCAGCGTAGAACAGGCAGCTTGACCAATGAAATAATTGGATCTGGTTCCTTTCTTGACAAGCATTTTAGTACGAGCGGGTTCTTCGATCCACTTGGATCTGACGGAAGTTGTTGATCTATGGACCCTGATAAGAATGTTCTACGCCAGGTCAAATTTACCGCTTAGTCAATTCGGCCTTTGTGATGTTGGGCCGTTGGTGACAGTGCTGCAGCGTGCATAGCGCATTGGAGATAGTGGTGACTCAACCGCTAGCCCTGGTTGAGACAGAAGGGAAACCGCCTATCTTACAGGGGCAATTCAAGCCGCACTCAGCACTCGATTCACATGCTTGTGAAACGTGCTTTTTAGCAAACGTCACAACAAGAATGACAACAATGGTTGCAATTACAAATACGGATACTAGCTTAGGAATACAAAGTTAATTGTTGTTATGGCGGACAAATAAATGAGTGCGAAAAGACCGACTACGAGGGAACGGGCCTGCACAGCCAGGTTCGCATTCGTTACGATATGAGACGGACTGTAAAAAACTGCGACGAGCTCCGACTGCGTAAAAAGTAAAAACAATGACGCAAAAGATAACGAGCCGCATCCGAGTCGGTCTTTTTATAACCGTCTTTCCGACTTTGGCCCCTACAGGATCAGCTGCAATCATTTTCAAGGGGGTAATTGAGGACCAATCTGTCTATAAATTGAAAAGTATCTGCCGTTGGTAAAAATGGGCCGGAAGAAGAGGAACTCTTGAATCTTCCGCTTAGTCACCGTCTTCGGCAGATCAACCCATGTCTAGTCCAAGTTTGGGCCATGATCTTCACGTGGGATCCTGGTTCAAGGTTTGACACCTTGTCTGATGTCGTTTAGCGCTGACCTCGTTCTCGTTTCTGCTTTAAGCTTCCTCCGCTTATTCAGCGGTCGTGTCGCATTCTTCTTCAGCACCATCCTCCGAACCATCCTCGGAGAGCCTCATGTTCCGCGTTGACGAATCTTTCGGTCATGGACTTTCTCGCGAAAAGACCGCGATTTTAACACATTAGCCTCGTTTTGCCTCATATCTTGGCTTTTCAGCCGGAGGCTTACACCATATCGTCGTTTACTGTTATTTTCTTCAAAACTTCCGGCCGTTTGATTTGGTTTGGTCCAGTTGTGGAACTGAGCCCAACGTCCCAAGTTGGCAGACTCGATTTCGGCGAATTAACCCGCCTCCCTTCTTCCTCCAATCTAGTCTCACTTGCATGTCAGAGCGGAACAAGTAATCATGATGCAGAAACGGGCCTGTGATGCCTGTCATAAGAGAAAGGTACGTATACGAGGCCCCATCTCCGTTCATTCCCGGGACCTCCGCTTCCCCTTTATCGATCAGTTCCATCCATCCCTTGGCGAGATTGATACTATCCATCCCATCCCATCCTGCATGCTTGTATTTGTGAAGGTGTAACGCATTCTTACCCAGTTGGCTAACAACCTGCCCTCAATCTTCTAGATCCAATGCGATTCAACAAGCCCAGATACACCCTGCAACTGGTGCGAGCACCATGGCTTGGATTGTACATTTAACCGAGTGAGAGGGCGGAAAAAGACAGCCAAGGCCAGGTAGGTTCAGACCGTGGCGTTCAGCCCCGTGGAGTAGTTCATTTTAACTCGTCTATTAGATCCCGTCAAACATCAGAGCAAAGTCTGGCAGAGCGCCTCAAGCGCATTGAGGATGCTCTTTCTCACACACTTTCTAATCAGAAGAACTCAGAAACCAGTGCAGCCAAGCCATTGACTCCAAGTTCACTAGCCACTGACCCCCACAAGAGTTCAGACCCTGGTACTGGAGACTCAACCAACGATACCCCTCAAAAGTTGCCATTCAACCGGCCATCTTCTTCCTTTTTGAGAGCTACCGATTCGCGATCTGCAAGTGTATCCCAGGGATCTCCGTTTATATCTCAGGCCCCATCTCCTGCTGGTGGTTTCACCAGCTCTGTTTCCTATGGGCAACTACATTACGGTGGCTGTCACTTTGGCCACATCAGTCAACATAATGGACTACCTTTGCTTTCAGAAGAAGGAAGACAATGGATAATTTCAAAGACTGGCCACGAAGTTATTCTCAATCCTGGTGCCACAGATCACTCCAACCCTTCCCAATCACCTGCACCTCACGTTTACCATGACCAACGTGACTTGTACGAACTTCCTGATAGAAGTATCACTGAGAAGGCTTTTGATGCCTTTATCCATTCCTCTTTCAGTTTGGTATTTCCCGTCGTGGAACGGGTTCTGTTCAAGGATACCATTGAACTAGCGTATCAGCCTTACACTGGCGATGTTCCTTCTTTGGAGCATCTTAGTGCCAAGGTTGGCGTTTTGGCTTTCCTCTCAATGATAGTACTCTTCCAAGATACATTTGCAGAAGGGATAAGTATCGACACAGACTTATGTGCCACAAAAGCACGTTATATACTCACAGATGTCCTAGAAATAGCTAGTATCAATAACCTCCAAATAGTCTTCATGCTGGTAAGGACTTGATCTGAGGATTGGTCTCAATAGAACTGACAAGCGTCTAGAACATGCATGAGATATTTTCTGGACGCCTTCGATCCGGCGCCATGTTCCATGCCATTGCGTGCCGCATGGTATTCACCCTTGGCGGCCATACGAACATATCGTGTAAGTCGCGAGGCTCGCAAGTCACACGCTCAGAGAGGGAACGGCGTCAACTTCGCATGCTGTTCTGGCTATGCTATATCTTCGATAAAGATATCGCTCTACGGACAGGTCAACCGCCACTCATGTCCGACGAGTATTGTGATCTCACCCTTCCGGAGACCTATTACGACTGCTATGAATACCTACCCAAACTCAATGAAAGCCTCCCCCAAGTTTCCTTCGACGAAGAGAGTCTCGTGCCTCACCTTCCGGGCGACCCTCGCCTGAGTCAACTCAAAGACAAAACCAGTCGTCTTCTATATTCGGCTCAGGCTGCTAAGAAGTCTCATGCACAACTACTTTGTGACATCAGAGAGCTTGACGAAGAGCTCGAAGCATGGAGACAATCTCTACCCCCTTCATTCCGTCCAGCGCTGTCAATCACCAACGAGTCTCAAGTTGCCCTTCAAGGGATGCATCTCCCTCGCAGTATGAGACACATCACTCTGCATTTGGACTATCATCATCTCATGATTGCAATCCATCGAGCAAGTGGCAGGTGCATGGAGCCTGATCCCGGAAACCCTAAGGACCAGCCTGAATGGGTTCCTGGAGTTGAATCGAGCAATGCTCTTGCGCTGGAAGCTAGTCGGTCGACACTTGTATACTTGCGGGCAGCAATGTGTGGAGTCGCTGGTGAAGCATTCTGGTAAGAAAAGTCAACGCAAACCGAATCCAGCTCCGTGACTAACTCGTGTGTAGGGTTATTGTCTTCTACCCCACAGCAGCCATGATCACTCTCTTCTTCAACATCTTGCTGTATCCACTCCATGAACGGGCTGAGCAAGACCTTGAGCTTCTCAAAGCAGCCGCTGATCTAATCAACAATCTCCCAGTGCGCCGACTGACCACTTCCGAAGTCTCTCATATGAAGCTTATCAATGACTTTGTTGTTGAGCTAGTCCGCCTTGGAAGGAGTGCAATCTGCAAAGCAACCATGGAAAAGGATCAAGAGCTTAACAGACAGTTGATGATTATACACTAGATAGCACAGTTTCTCTGTATTTGTATTCCTTTGTGAATTGTTTTGGGAGCGTGTGTCGGGGATACCATACTGGATTCAATAGATGGGATATAGAATGTTTATGCTTGGGTGATGTGACATTGGCACAGGAAGTTAAGGGCTTTTCAATACATTTAATGACGGAGGGGATGTGAACACGACAATTCAAGATGACGTTACTTCTACTGATTGACCGTGCGAAACCCTTACTGGACATGGCCCGAAATACAAAAACGTGTTTTGTACAGACTTTATCTCTGGCTAGACGCCCTCACATGCCCACGGATATCAACATAAATTATTTACATAGCAACACACAGATACCCTCTTGGACAATTACGACTGCCGAAGAAAGTGGCACCCATAACCTCAAAAAGTTGATCTCAAGCTCAGGTAACGTTAAGGCTACGCGTTACTTAACGTCTTACCCTGTACAGGTGTGTAACCTAGGTTGAAATTGAAATGGTGGCCGGAGCTTTGCGGTTCATACTACACAGTTGAGTGGAGAGATTTTGGATCAAGGAGTGAATTTTGTAGAAATTGACCTGGCTATAATTTTCCGATCATATATACTATGTGAAAGTTTAAGTACCGTACTCCGTATCGGTCGAAAAGCTCATCACACGACAATGGAAACACTCAGTTTCAGTAAATGGAGTTGCCGAACTGACTCGACACCGGAACTTATATAATGGCAAGCTATTGGTTGTAGGACCGGAGGGAACTCGACTGAGCTTGTAGTACTCAAAAGTTCCCATGAGTCTCGCTGCTTTGAACAAGAAAGGAAGTTCGGAGCGAGGTGTCCAACTCCGGGCGCGTCATTTAGCGAAGAAATCACACCAGTTGTCTCGGACAAACTCGTATTCCGCGCCCTCCAATGATGACTCATTACCGTGTCTGACAAATAGTTAATTCAAGCCTCAATAATTATCCCTATGTTTCGAGGTTCTTTTTCAAAAACTCTAATAGTCTATCTATTCTTGATGCGATAGAAGTTTGAGATACAAAATCGAATCAGCTATGCCGTCAGCAACTCGTCAAGATCAGCTTGTCTTAGTCCCTTGGGACCCCAACTCTCCAGAGCATGTCAACCGCATTTATGCACAGCGAGTTCAATGCGGTTGGGACAAGCAATTAGTTGAAGGGTGGAAAGAAAGACAAGTCTCGGGCCAGAAGTCCATTTTCTGGATCGTTGGTTTCCTCAAGAATCGATTCACAATTGTAGACGTTTAACTTTGACTAGACGCTGCGACCAGATGACCCCGAAACCCGCGAAACTCTTCAACTGCACTTGGATGCGTACCCTGAAGTCAGCTTATGAAACTGATAAATACTGGACATGACTGACGACTCTCAGGACAAGGCGCCATTGGTTGACACAGCCGAAAGCCTCAGAGCCAAACCCCGAAAACCAACACATACAAAGTTCTATCCCGTGGGCCATATCTCACTCGATGACAGAAACGAGAAAACAGGAAACTTTGTACTAGATCTTCCCAAAGAAGGCGTCTACTGGATCAAGACATTTTACGTCTCAAAAGCACTCCGAAGCAAAGGCATCGGGCGAGCAGCCATGGACATCGTCGAGTCAATGGCAATTGAGGAGCCACTATGTGCCAAAACCCTCGCACTTGATACCGCTGAGAAGGAAATGCAGAAGAAGCTGTACCGAGAAAAGAACGGAAAGGAGTTGGGCGTAAGTCTTGGCCGTTGTGAATGTTTACCATCAACAAAGCTGACACATTTTAGTCAACTAACCAGGACTGGTATGAACGGCGAGGATATAGGCTGATTCACATGCAGCCTGGCCACTACTTGGACGACGAAGAACCCCCAGTCGACGCTGTGTTTCTACGACGAGATATCGCATAAAGTGTGGTGGTTGCATATTCTATTGTGAGCTTATATCAGCACAGAAAACCGAGTGAGCAGCTACCAAAGAGTATGACTTGAACTTGATAAATAGAGACAAACAGAATATATAAGATAACAACAATATACAACAAATATTGGCTCAAACAACTGTCAAACAATATCGCACACAAATATGCAACAAATCACGCCCAGTCACACTTGATTCCCAGCATGTACTTCCCTCCATCACAATAAGACATCTCCCTCCATTCCGGGTCCTCCCAGCAGCGAATATCCAAAGGACCATTCTCGCAAGTCAAACTACCTACAATGTTAGAAGTTCCAGAATAGATGCACCCCTTGGCTCCATGGGCCTCGAATGCAGGAAGTTCAGTTGGAAACTCCGGGTTGTCCTCGTCTGCCTTTGCGGGCACCTTTGATAGGACTTCTGCGAGGCAGAAATCTTTGGCAGGCTCTTCGGGTGTATCTTGAATAGCTATCCATTGAGACCCCATCAAAGTTTGCATTAGCACGATGCGAACACGGTTGTGGCGAGGATTCGCATCGGCCAACCAACCTCGTAATTGGCGATTATAGTCCTCGGGGTAACGATTTTGACCAGAAAACCAGGCACTAGAGGTCTTTGGGATAACAAGACCCTTGTCTCCAGGGCCATGTTCATCCTCAGAGGCTTGACACTTGCCTTGACCTTCGGTGCCAACCATAGCTGCCAATTTTCGATCAATCATTACGCCCTCCGCCATAAAAGGATCAAGTCCGGCATGGGGAATTTCGTACACACATTCTAGTGTTGAGGCGAAGGGAAGATGAGGATAATTGCCAGTGATCTTTTGAACGGTTTTGGCCATCGCATACATGGCGAAGTTATCAGCGCTTCTCTTAATCCACCAAGCTGGATCGAGGGGAAACGCAGCGAGACCTTTCGTCTTCGCTGGGTTGTAAATCCTTTGCTTGACGATGGTTTGGTCTCCCCGGACGTACAGAGCATGAAGATCAGCAATATTATACCGCGGGTCCACGCCAGAGGCCCAATCAACATGGAGAAGCTCATGGAACCAAACACGTCCTAGGAAAATTAATCAAAAGCACGAGAAATGAAGAAGACAATAAACATTCATACCTTTGTTACGAATGTAGTTGTTTAGATCTGCACGATGTTCTATGGGTAACTCCTTCTTGCTGTTCTCATCAATGACTTTGAGAAGATCTGGTTCGAGGAAATAATTGGGACAGAATGCGATACGTGCTTTTCCCGACTCTTGGTCTTTGTTGGTGGTGTATGCCAGCTGAGTGTGTGGTTTGCATTTGCATATATCGCTAGGATCGTCGCAACGAACATGAAGTCGCCATTGAAACGGATTGAGACTGCTGCCAGCTCTAATGGTCACAACGGTATCAATGATCTCTGTCGCCAAGTCAGCAACACATACAAAGAAGATAGAAGTGGGGAGATAGTGCTTTTGATGGCAGACTGCTCATCTTCGTTGATGAAAGGAGGTGCGAAGAATTCTACAGCTGCAGCTTCGTTCCAGTTGAGCTCCTTTCCTTGAATGGCGTCCATCATATGCCAGGCTTGCTGCCAACCAGAGTAAATTGCCTTCCGCTTGAGAGAACCCCAGTCACCACAGCCTTCGAAGCCGAAGAGTCTCGTGGCAAAGTCACCTACATCTCCGTCTGCTTCTGTGAGGTTATATTGACTCTCTCTAAGTGCAGCATTGAACGTATCAGTTGCTCCTTTAAGATCATCAATATTTGCAGTATGTACTGATGCAGCGAACGTAGAGGCGAAGGCGATAGAGGCAACTAGGAAGAAGATGGACTTCATCATTGGAGATAATAGGGGGCCTGGTGATCGGTGTGAATACAGAAAACAGCGTTAACCCTTTAAACTCCCCACCTTACGCGCCAGAGACCCGATGGGGCAATGGATGAGAACGGAGCATGGTTGATATGCGGTTGGTTGACAGCAAGTTTCAAATAAAACTTTCTTGGCAGCAAATTGTCATGGCCAACAGTTGCAGGGATAAGAAAACAGTCAGGGACAAGGTATACGCCTGATGTACATGGGACTCACATCATTGACACAACAAACCTCTATCCCTTGACTCATGGACGGACTTGAGAAAAAAGCTGGCTGCGTTATTACAGTCTGCGTTTTCAAGATGCTAATTGCTAAATTTGACGTTGGTGCCGAAAGTTTACCACAGTTAGAGCAGGAAGCCAACTGTTGGCTTTCACAGAAATGACGGTGGACCCATAGCCAAGTGACGCATTAGCTAACCTGCTAACTTAGCTTTGATAACCAACAACCAACACTTGAGCTTATTACATGGATTTGATTCGTCGGTTCTGGGGACAATGTAGGATGAAACATTCTGTATTGGGAAATCGCCGGAAACCTCGACTAATCTGATTCATCATAACCAGGTATCCATAGATTGGCGGCGCATTCATAAATTAGAATGTCCAATCATTGCTTGACTGAAAAGACTATTGTCATGGAAAGCCTGTTAATGCTTGGAGAAGCTGGAAAGAATCTACCAATGCCTGTCCATCAAATGGCATGCTTGCGGATCCGACAGTCACAGTTTAACAACCAACACCAAGTAATTATGGCGCGTGCGGTACCGGAACATCTAACATTCCTTGATTTAGTTGAATGTCACCAATATAAGTTTAGATCTCTCTTTATGCACCAAATGTATCGCCCCTCAGAATCCTCATCCATCCCAACATCCTGTTACCCCCCTAGCCAAAACACAAGACCGTTGTCAATGTCCACACAAGCAGGTTCAGTTCTCTTCCTACTGGCTATACTCATTACTACCTGTTTTGCAAGCTCCCAAAATAGTCAGAACATTCTCCTCCCGGCATCAGAAGATACCATATCCCATATCCCTGGAAGCCTGTCTGAATGCGGCTTTGATGGTGAATTCGGGGTAACATGGTTTCCCCGATGCCAATTTGGTGGTCTCACGGGTGGCTCGGTAACAGGTTGGCCTAAAAAGGGCGGCTACTATACCCATCTCTGCTCCATAGCTGAACTCGAGTTCCTTGGCCTCGACCGGTTTAAGCCTGCGAACAGTTCAGGCGACCCTGATGAGGAAGAGGCTCACTGCGCTAGGATGCGCCAGCTAGGGGCAACATGGGTTAAAGACCTCGATAGCGAAATCGAAAAACAGTGGAAGCATGATTTACCAGATTCTCCACGGTTGTATGCTGGGTGGCCGGCTGAGGGCGGTGTCTGGGTCTTATACACTACCTTTTCCCAGACCAAGAGAAAAGGTCTGGGAAGGATTGGTAATGCATTGACGATGGAAGAGCGCTGGAAATTAATCAAAGAACTTGGGGGCACGTTCTACGCGAAACCTAAGGACTGCCCTTATCTTGATCTCGACGGCTTGGAGGATAAGGGGAACAAATGACGGTATCACATTACAGTGTGCGTTGAGATGCAAACTCAGCATCTTGCAGTTGAGACTTGTGGATGAGAGCTTAAATCAGCAGAGAGAACTTAGTTTCTTTTCAAGAAATTTGGCATTGTCAAATGAAGGACATAGTAAGGGGAAATTGGACAGGAGTGAATTCTTTTGCAAGTTTGTAGTTTTATAACAATAAAATATTTGAATTACGGTACACTGAGGATCTCCTTGAGATATATCCCCGGCCAGTTTCACAGTTCAGTACATATCATGTCCCTCATGCTCTCCATAATCACCAGCCACCTCTCCTCCTACTAGTCAACCGGAGACTTGGTACTAATGACCCTGAGGAAGCTCATAAGCCCATTCTGACTTGCCGGCCCACAAAGGAAAGGAGTTTGGATCATGCTGATAATGATCGTCTGGTAGGAATCGGTCAACCTGGGACTGAAAACAGCCCTGATTTTGGACCTTGCGTCCCTCAAACCGATCCTTGATCCAATCCATCCAAATCGACCTAGTTGCATACATACCAGGAAAGTGACCAACTCCAGGAACACCCAAGAACTCCAGATCACCAGGATACTTCTCGCAAGTAGCCTTCGAAGTAGCCAATGATGCGTTGTAATGCACCGCTGGGTCTTCTTCACCATGGATGATAAGCAGAGGTCCCTTCCAAGGCCTCTCACCGGGGTTAACGATTCTTTTGAGAGCGGCCACAGACCATGTGTTCATCCAGTCAGGCTGGACTATCTCCTTTTCAGAGCGGAAGAGAAAGCCGCTGACGCTTTGAGATCCCTCAACCTGGTTGAAAAGAGTGACTCGGTTGATGCCCAGAGGTGTAAGCCAGTCACTAAGCTTGAACTCAGGATAGACTTGGTTCAGATATTTACCAACCCAGGTAGTAATCGAAGTAGCTGGCAACGAGAATGCATCTGTCGGTGGGGCAAAAAGAAGGGTTCCTAGATGGCCCTTAACGAGATCCTTGAATCTTCCCTTCTTTTCCGCAAGGAGCTCAGAGACACCCCATCCAACGGCACCTCCCTGACTATGACCAACATTTACATAATCAGTTGTCAAACGCTGTGGAAATGCAGTTAAAGCAGCTCTCAGGGCATTGAGAGCATCTGCTCCACCAGCCTGGTAGATGCCATATTCGTGAGGAATGGCAGTCCCATCCCATGAGGTCCCAACGCCGAGACCAGCGTAGTCAGGGGCCACAACAGCATACCCTGCTAGAGCCAAGGCATATGGCACAAAGTCTTGATAGAAGAGACTGCGGTGGGTAGATGGTGCGGCAGTGGGATACCATCCAGATGTGCCGTGAGTCCAAAGTACAGTTGGCGCCTTTCCGTCGGGAACGCTTTTCATTTTCTTGGTGGTATATGGCCAAAGGATGTAAGCAGAAGCAGGAATAAGAGTACCATTAATATTTGTAGTTGAGTAGAGGAAACGAGACATTGCGGTCGAAGCAGGGATTGTGTATGGCTCTGGATCTGTGATTTCTTGGAGCTTGATAAGCTCGCCCGCAACCTTGGGGATCTTCAGACCAGGGGGCAGGGTGTAAAAGTCATCTTGGTGAGGACCACCATTGGCGAGTAGAGTTCGGTCAAAGTTGATGATGTTGTTGATCTGCGCGCCTTGTTCAGCGGTCAAGTTGGCAAGACTAAGTTGCTGAGGCGAGAGTTTGAATGTTGAGTTCCATGATGTTGTATGTAGAGTGGCCTGTAGATTTTGGCTAGCTGTGAGAGCTATAAGGGCCGCAAAGGGAAGAAAGGTAGTTTTAGAAAACATTGTGAGAAGATGCTTCAGCTCCGCTAATATTCTGGCTTGAAAGGGGGAGTTTGAATGGGTTTATATGTTGTTTTGAGACTATTGTGATTTCACATGTTTCCGCAGCTACATCCTTCGATTGGCCTTTGAATACGCCTCAACCACTGCTATATCAAATAAGATACTACTGGGTGTATGTCTTCAATGGGATATCTGCTTTTGAATGAGAACTTGATTTGTCTGTCAGCATGTAGACGTGTCTCTGCACGGCTAAGGCAGTAGCAGCGTATTCTTGCGTATTGCAATACGAAGGTAGAACGATTTTCGCCGTTTCGGCACCGAGACTACTACTCATTCTGAACCTAATAATAAATGGTCGACATATGTCATAGGAACTGTTTAGAGATGACTTTGGATGCATCGAAAAATCCAAACTCGAGCTCGACAAGTCCTGTCGACTCGATGCCGACCCGGCCAGTGGCAAATTCTGGACGACTCGAAACAGGGTTATCGAGAGCCCCTTACAAGCCAAGAGCTACTGGATAAGGTCAGTTGAGAAGAGCGGAGCCTATACTTGCCAGGCTCTCATATCTCATCCAAAACAACAACTAGGTACTGAGTAATTCGGCGGACCAACGATGCACGTACCGAAACATGTAGTTATGCATTCTGGTCACACAGTAGATTCGCATATTTGAGAAACCTTTTCAATGAACCGAGATATAACACGTACCACTGACTTGCACGCAGAATTGTATACTACGACCCAAGATCTGTACAGTGTTTTGAGATTTGGTGGCTATTCAACAGATTGTACCTCATGAGACAATTGTCTTTGGATCCAAGACATCTGGGCCGGCTATCATATTGGTCTGCGTGAGATAGATAGATTCCGAGACAGTTCTAGTCAAGAATCCTGACATTCCCAACATGTCAACGCCTCCTCGCGCACGCACCATTTTCATAACGCCAGCACCATGACTCCAATATGCGCTCATATCTCCTTCAAGGAACTGCAATGATCAATTAGCCTTTCCTAAAGATAGATAGTAAGACCAAACTGTAGAAAGGGATGCTCACTGCTTCAGAGGCCATCAGCATAGCCAATGCGATAGTTGTATCTGTAGCGACAACCTCCGACTCGATGGCGTCTTTAGCCATTTGGATGCACATTAGTCGATATTGAAGTTTTTTGACCGCAAATCTGCTCGATAGGGTGTTATTTGTGGCGGCGACATAGTTCCGGCACGCCACGTGAAAGACGGCAGCCATAAGACTGAGTTTAGACATTGCATTGGGCACCCAGATATGCCTCATCAGATAACCGAAGTTTTGCTCATCGTCTTGGGCATAGCATGCTGTATATCCGTAAGAAATAACATAGTTGAGATCTATGATATAACATATTAGTTGGTTCAGTTGGCTGAGTGAAAGTCGAGGAGGATAGACGTACAGAAATCAAAGAGATAGTGCTCATCTTCTGAAAGTGGTCTTGCAAATCCTGTGTATGCGTCACTGCGAGCACCACCGATCAACTGGAGTGGGCTTGGTGCTCGATTTTCGGTCTGTCCATGTACTTTTGCTTTAGGCATGATTTTTCGGTATCGTGTATCGCGTGCTGGGTGAACAAGCGATCTCAACTCTGCTTCAACTTGAAGGTTTTCAGGGTCATATCCCTCGACAAGAGCCTCATCTTGCTTTCTTTCCTTCTGAAGAGCACGAGAAAGCTTTGCTGCGTGTGATCTTATTAGTCTGATACTATTTGCATTGGTGATCTCGTCTGGATGAGCAGAGTTGATGAATTGCAACGTTCCAGGTTGAAACTTTGTGGGTTCTTCAACTGGTCGGTCTTTTGGTAATCTGCCGCGGCCTCTTCTTCTGACTAGCGTCGTTGTTCTCTGAATGACTGATTGATATTCCGTGTCTCTAGTACAATTCTCCATTGTTGATGAGCTAATACGGGGATGACAAAGATAAAAGAAGTGAAGGGGACGTCAGAACTGGTCTTCTTTTTTTCAGCATGAATCTGACTCAGCGGGGACCAAAGCCAATCATCAGCTGATGGTATTCATCATTAGGCTAATTAATAAGCCCACAGATAAGCCATGACAACCATATGAGAACATGCGATGAAACCTGCCTACTTGTCATCCAGCCTCTTGGTTTTGATCAAGTAATCCACTACTTCTGTAACACTCGCCTCCAAACTGATCCAACCACGCCCGGCCCATTTCTGTAAGAGATCAAGAGCAATATCGTTCTCAATCTTGTATATCAATTTTGGGTCACCCGAAATAAAGTTATCAGCGAAGCTGCGGTTTGGGTAAGCACTTCGTAGGATATCTAGACAATCATTCCATGTAAACGATGATGCGAGAACCTGAATGCGTTGACCTTGGATGTCGGGGTCGATTGCGGCGGCGACATGAATAACTGCGACATCGGCGACGTGGCTGTAATACACTTTTCATCATTAGTCGCAAGCATCAGTTATGGAGATAATACTTACTAGCAGGGGTTTGCAGCTTTTCAATATTCCCCAGATACAGCTGTTCAACGAGCTGGGGCGGTACGGACCGTAGATGCTTATCATCTCGGAGGTCTCCCAGGATAACACAAGGGCTGACCGAGTTGACTACCCAGGGGAGTTTCTCATCTTTGAAAAACTTCCAGACAGCTTTTTCTGCTTCAGCCTTGGCTGCGAAATAAACTGTCATAATGCGATCTGCATCATATGGAGGAGGAGCCCAAGCAGCTTGAATAGCAGCATCGTTCCAACTGTCAAGGTTTGTAATGGTATCACCGACACCAGGAACTGGAAAGGTAGCAGCCCAAAAGGTGGAAGTGAAGACAAACCGCTTGACTGATGGCTCCTTTGCTGCTGATCGACAAACAGACAAGGCTGATTCTATAGTAGCTGGAATAGCAACATTGGGATCAGGAACCAAGTCTCCAATGACTGCAACATGTATGACAGCCGCGACACCCTGTACGGCTCTGTCAAAGTCATGGGGTTTGGTCGTGTCCGCAACTATAAGCTCGATATGGCCGCGTTCGGCATATTCGGAAACGAATTTATCTTCAAGTAGCCACTGACTGGACTCCAAGTCTCGAACGGTGCCGCGGACCTTGAAGTCTCTCTTCAGTAGCTCGAAGACAATATGGCTTCCAGTATGGCCGTTTGCGGCTGTCACAAGAACCCAGGATCCTTTGGGGATAGCCGTTTGATGCTTGGACATTGTGGTAGAAATATGAGCGTTGAAGAAAGAGGAATTGTTGTGAGCTAGTGAAAGGTCAACCAGACTAGATTGCAGCAGCTTAAGGCTACTTTATACCTTACTTCATGTTGGTCGTTGACATACAAGCCGGCAGAAACTGTCTGAGAAGTCAACCCATGATAGTAAGTAACATGAAGTTTCTGCCAATCAAAATTGAGTTTCATGAAGTGACAAATCCTTATTCTGATGATATATTATCGGAGCCTTGATGAGAACTCAAACCACAAACTAAGTTTCTAGCCACAGCATTCAGAAGCCAATTAGAGAACGGTAACAAGCCCGAGAATCCCGAGCATAATCCTTTTCAGAACTAGTCTGTCAGAATATTAGTGACTAACTGCGCGGCCATACATGCGTAAGCGGTGAACACAACTGGGCTTCATCGCTAGCCTAGCTTGGTTCGTCTCATCCCCAACTCTTTGTTCGGCATCTTCCGCCTTTTAAGCATTAGCGTGACATACATAAGTTCATTTTCATTTGGTGGGCCACTTCAATCCCTGCAATATAATGTTCAGTTCATGCTTTGTCGGAGTTTACGATTATCGCCGGTGCTCCTGCGTCTTACCTGACTACGTGGAAGCCACTAGCAAAGGCATCGTCCTTGAGGGTGACGGAGAAAATGTCTACTTTGGCTATCTTTCGTTGAAAGATCTTTATTCTTGTAGCAAAGTCTACGTAGTCGCGATGATCTGTAAGGTCTAGAGAGTTTGATCTTACTCTGTGAGACTCTGGTCCTGAAATTGTCTTTATCCCCTCATAATACTCGATCATCTTATGAGCCTCAAAAACTTCCCGAATCCCAGTGTATTTAGAGAGTAACTGTCGTTCTGGTTCCTCTACGTACAAATTGGAAAGAGTATGTTATGCACAACAGTGGAAAGTACTATTAGATAACTATATGGCGCACAATGCCTGTCATGTGCCAGGACTCCGTGCAAGAGAAGGAAATGCTGATAATTTGCAAGGGGTCATGGTCTGCAACTTGTGTCCTGTGGATTAGGCCCATACATTAAAGAAACGAACAGCCTGATAGAACGCTTCGTCTTTGGCAAAAACCTGCTGTGGGTTTGATGCATTTGCACGAACAGCAAAACCATGAGTAGTACCACTGTACAGAACCGAAGTAAAAGGCTTGTTTAATTTAGTGAGGATGGCTTCAGTCTCTGCTTGTCTGGGCTGGGGGAAAATCTGGTCCTCGGCTATATCCATATCAGCTTTTGACTTTTCTTTTATTGCTATTACGGGCTGAAACTGACCTGCACCAGCGATCGACACGGGCTTTCTGACAGCCTCAATCTCATCAGTAGCCAAGAGACTGGGATGAGCAGTGAAGCCAACATCGACTTTACCGTTTTCGCCAAGTGAACGAAAGACGTAACGTCCACCGTAGCAATAGCCTGTTGCAGCGACGGAGTTCACTTGGAGTTCATTGCGTAGGTAGTTGATTGCCTTTGCAACAATTGGGTCAGTGACACTGGGAGGATGCTTGGCAAGAAACTCGGTAATGTTGAAGCCTGGAGTTTCTTTTGCCGGATCACCTCGAAACAAGTCGGGTGCAACAGCAAAAAAACCCTCTTTGGCAAAGTTATCGACCAATCTGCATTAGTTAGTGAAGAAAAGTAAGAGTGAATGGACAATCCTACTCTCGGTTCTCCTTCAACTGGATGCCGTAGACATCGGTAAGAAGAAGAACACCTGTTCTTTTCCCTGGTTTCTTGTGACCAAGGTTAAACCTCCCGGGCTTGGATACATATAGATTCACTAGAAATAGTCAATTGAGTGCTCAGCCAAGACTGTGTGTGAAGGAATACTGACGTCCTTGGTATCTCACAGTCTCGCCTTTCTGATGTTGAGCAGTTGCCGATTCTTCCGCCGCCAACACCCCACCTGGGGCAAAAGAGGTGAGGAGAGACAGAAAGACGGCAATGGGCTGGAAAAACTTCATTGTGATCACTTGCGAGGCGGAAAGAGATTGAGGTGGAACGGTAACAAGGAGGAGGGGAATATGTACAACGATTTAGGATAGGTGTTGCTTACGAATATTCCAGTAATGATCAGGCTAAAGAGAGCCTGACTGTCGTCATTATGCTTGTTATGATGTTGACGTTCCTGGATTGGACGGCATTATTGCATGCTTAAAGTCCGTGACGACGTTGGAGCGGGGGTGGCAGGGGAATATGCATCTTCGATACAACCTTATTTCAAGGCAATTGCCGCGAGTTGTCTGGTCCCAATAGAGTCTGGAGTACCTGGCCTTAAAAAATTACCGCGGTGTCGAATTCGTGATTTCACTCTTATTTTAACTTATGTGGCGTCAAGGTACTCTAGCCTTGGCTTATATAAAGTCTATAGTAAATGCAAAGTTCAAAAGGGCCAATATTATAGAACTTGTAATGCGAATATGTAAAAGCTGTACTGCCCAGTTGCTACTATGGAGGCCTCACGAGAAGCAAGCCAGTATGAGTTTTGTTTATGACCAATTTCTCCAACAGTGGGGCGCTGGCGCAACGGTAGCGCGTCAGATTCCAGCTCTTGAGCACGGAGATTCCTGAAGGTTATCGGTTCAAATCCGGTGTGCCTCATTTGTTTTTGTTTTTGGTTCTTTCTACGAGCCTATTGTTGACTTTAACAGTTTCATCAACAATATTACTCTGGCTGAATTTGTAACGTCGGGAGCATAATTAAGCTTAGATGGAATGGGCCAATGATAAAAGCGATTTGGTGCCTCTGGCCCACTCACTACCCAATTGGGCAACTGGCCATGGCCTCTCTGTGAATCTTGGGGAAACCATTTTCACTTGCAGACATTAGAATTAGGTAACAGGATGTTATTTTTATGATTCAAATGTTCAAACTTAGTTTTCGTCTTCAATTGACTGCTTAATTTTAATGCGTTACCTCTCTGGACTAACGATATATAATAATCATTTATTTCCTTTACTTGAGAGCTTAAGGCAGCGGGATTGACTGCTTGTGACCAGTGAAAAGGCCCTCAGGATCAATTTTGGCCTTGATCTTCTTGAGTCTCTCATAGTTTGCGCCATAGAGACGTGAGCTCCACTCCTTTTCGGTAAGCTCAGTATCAGCATAGTTGACAAAGCCACGGAGTTTAGAGCCGCCCTTGACAAGAGCATCCTCGAATGGCTTCATAAGACCTCTCAGGTAAGGAATAGCGTCGGCAGGGAAGACGAAGGGGTTGACAGAGTTGGCATCCCAGCGAATCAACCACAGGTTTCTGCCATGAGCATAGCCTGTATCGCTATCCTTGATGTTGCGGGAGACACCGCCCCAGAGATCAAGGTAGGCGAACTTTGTCAGGTCAGTTCGGTTGAAGGCCAGTGTCGTGCTCTCGAATAGAATCTGAGCTTGTTCAAGAGTGAGGGGATGGTCGGTTGTAGTGGTGAGAGATTGAGTGTAGAATGCTCGGCCGCCAAGAAATCCGCCGTCGGGTTGGTTCATGCCAGCACCGGCGACAGCAACTTCAAGATCCCACCAGGGAAGGACAGTCTTCTTGACCTCGACGGTGGATTTAATTGTCTTGAGCTTATTCACAAGAGGACGAATCACACTGTCAAAGCTGTCGGGGTTGCCATAGAAGTATCCAGTACCATCGTAGGGAGGAGCCATCAAGCTCCATCGGAAAGCAAAGGTATCAGGGCAGTCCTTACTGGTAGCGTAGTCCTGGATGGCCACGAGCGCCCTGGCGCCGTCTCTGGGGCTGAGATCGCCCATAGACAGAGTGAAGTTGATGGCCTTGTCGAACTCAGGCTTGAAGGTCTTGGTAGTCATGGAGAGAATGATACCGTAGGAGGCTCCAGCACCTTGAGCAGCCCAAAGGAGCTCGGAGCCTTTTTCAGCCTTCACAATGGTGCCGTTGTACAGCATGTACTCAACCTCGACAATGTTATCCATGGGAGTACCAAGATAACGTGAAGTGGTGCCAAAGCCGCCTCCGATGCTGGAGCCAGTGACACCAACGTGGGCACCACGAACGTGAGGAACATGGCGTCCAGCAGTGTCCCAAAGATACTTGGCAACAGGTCCAACATGAGTGCCGCCACCAAAGGTCATGAGGGTGGTCTTTGAGTCATACTTGACGTCGTCGAAGGCAGCCATGTTGATGACCAAGTTCCCAGGCTTTCCGAAGCCATTTCCTTGGAACGAGTGGGCTGGACCAAGGGCATTTGCGTTGACATCAGCCTCTCGCGCACATTCTAGCGCAAGGGCGACTTGATCGCGAGATTCGGGGAACGCAATCGCAGCAGGCTGGGGACGGATACGCTTCTGGAACTGAGTTGTCTCTGCGGCCCATTGACTGTCAGACTCGATGACATTTCTTACGCCAGCCTTGTCGAGACATTTGGTCAATTCCTCAGCCTTGTTCTGAGCAAAGGCTAGGGAAAAGAGAGAGGCGAAGACAAAACGTCGCAGAGAGCGTGGAGATGTCATGATTGGAAAGCTGATAAAGATCAACGCTTGAGAGAATAAGTCAACTCATACGGGTGATTTCATTGTATTTATGTCTTACTGCCCCAGTTTGGCTTTGAGCAGCTTGAGGTAATACACGGGATTAAGCTTCGGCCCTTTGTAATGGTTGGCTGCAGGGGGAAACCTACAAACCCTGTCATAGCTCATCTTGGCTTTAACAGGCTAAAATGCAACGTTCCTACAGCACGTTTATCACTGTGATATAATCCTTCCAGCACAACTTCCATCCTATTAGGGAAAGGTCGCAATCATATGAACTTACGACAGCGGCATCATGCAAACGTCCCTGTCCCAAAGGAGAATATCCCTCAAGGGGCATGATCTTCTAAGCCACACTTTATCTGACTCAACTACCGGTATCCCACTCCTTCTGAACCTTCAGCATTGTATGGAGACTTGCCAGCATTAAGATCCACTATTACCAGGTTCGGCGAGCCAGGTTCCGACGCTTCTGGATTTCGTTACCTTCTTTATTCAGGTCTTGTTCCGTTTTCTACGGATAAGAATCTTGTTACCACCCTTCCCTGGCATTATGTTGCAACAAATGTGGACTTTTCCGTCTGAAGTAATTCAGCCTGTTGGGTAAAACGGAAATCCATCTCAGATGGGTTGGCTTAATGGAGAATAAGAGGATCGTCATCGCTGCAAGGACTCATTTGCTTGTCGCAAACATCGTTAGTGTAGGATGCTTAAGAATAGGCTTAATTGCACGTCTCAGAAACTTTTCCGTGCTCACTAATCTACCGACCGCTCCGACGGGGCGAAGCGAGTAGTCCAAGCTATATGCAGGGGTTTAATGTCACTGCTCTCAAGTCAGACTGAACCTATCCTGTAGGATATCGTTTGTCACCGTCGAAGAGTAGATGTGTAGAAAAGAGAAAGTTTGAATAAAAATACTAGTCTTAAAAGCGTAGCGGAAAGAATATAACAGAAATGAGCTAGGTGAGCTCTCTATGATGAGTACAGAAGTATAAATCTAATTGCAATACAAAACAAAAAAAAAAAAAAAAAGGTCTATACCTAGGCCTCTCTATCTAGAGACTGAGCCTGACACATATCCGCATATACACCTCCCTTAGCCTGAAGTTCCTCATGCGTTCCCACCTCAACAACCTTTCCACCAACAAGCACAAAGATAACATCAGCATTTCGAATAGTCGAAAGTCGATGCGCAACCGCAATCACACTGCATCCGCTTTCCTTTCTCGTCTGTTCCAGTGCCTCCTGGACGAGTTGCTCCGAGTGTGTATCGAGCGCCGAAGTTGCCTCATCCAGAAGAAGAAGCTTCGGTCTGCGGATAAGAGCACGGGCAATAGCGATTCGTTGACGTTGACCACCCGAGAATGCTGTGCCTCGGGCACCGCATGGAGTGTTGAATCCTTCTGGAAGGGATGAGACAAAATCGAGGATGTTGGCCTGTCGAGCAGCCTCGTTGAGTCGCTCTTCAGATGTATCGTCAATGTCACCGTCGAGACCCATCAAGATGTTCTCTCGTACACTGCCTTCGTATAGGACAGGCTCTTGTTGAACCATAGACATCTCATTACGATAGAGACGAGGTGAAACATCCTTGATGTCTTGCCCGCCAATGCAGATCTTGCCAGATGTAGGATCGTAGTATCGCTCAAGTAGAGATACCAGGGTTGATTTGCCGCAGCCACTGGGACCGCAAACAGCAACAAACTGAGATGGATTGATCTGGGAGGTGTTAGTGAGTATTCGTGAGATAGGTGAAAGGGAGACTGGCATCCATTGTAAGTCCATGAAGGACCTTGGTACTGCGACTCTTGTACTTGAAGTGGACGTTATCAACACTGATGGTCTGGTCAAGATCAGGACCTCGATCTTTGTTCTCATAGGTCTCTCGAACGACTGGCTGCTCCTCCCGCAGGTTAAAGAGATAGTTTGCCGCGCCCTTTGCTCTTGTGAGACTACCCAAGTTGGCAAACAACTGGGCACCAGCTTGGCCCGCAAACAAAACGCCCATGAAGATGAGGAAGAACTGTTCCGATGTATACTCTCCAGAAGATATGAGTCGTGAACCGTACCAGAATCCGAGTGCCATTACCAGAAACTCAATTGACTGTGAAAAGGCATATGCAACCATTGAGATCGAAAGAGACTTGACTGATTGGGCGACAATGCTTGACAGAGTCTCTGAGTATGCCTGAATAAATTCAGACTCGGCGGTCAAAGAGGCAACCGTCCTCAGAGCGGATACAGCCTCGCTAGCAAGACTGGCACTTTCTCGAAATCTTGCCTCATTGCTCTCATGAAGCCTAGACTCAAGACGAATCTTGAAGTAACCAGAACCCATGAGAAGAGGCAGTCCTGCAAAGACCATGACAAGAGCCAGTTTCCAGCCATACGCCAGTGCAAGAATGGAGCTAGCAGTTATGTTGACGGCCATGACGAGAACAACATAGATGTTCAGTCCAAGAAGCTCTGTCAAACTCGTGGGGACTGAGGATAATGTTGAAGCCAATGCACCGGATGAATTCTCAGTTCGATCGAAGAAGTCAATGTCCATGACGACCATGCGACTAAACAATTCAAGACGGTACTGATGAGAGATGGATTGGGCCACATGATTGGAGATGTATCCAATGGTGAAGTAGGCGACTAGATTACCAAGGGCAATGACGAAGAACATGAGCGCATAGAAGTTGGCATCTGATGCAGAGGGTTGACTGGAAGAGAAGGCTGTGATAAGGCGGGAGAACAGGACAGCTTGACCTGGCCAGGTAGCTGCGGCGATACTGCAGGCGAGTGCTGCGACAATGATGTGAGGGAGAAGGGTCTTTTGTTCTTTGAGGATAAGGAAGATGCTCGTTAAAATAGAGCGGTCCTTCGGCTTGGCATCTCCATCCTTGAGCACCATGGACTTCTCAGTTTGTGCTGTCATGACGCGCGCCACCTCCTCGTCTGTCTCGACTTCGATCATATCCTGCTTCGCACCCATGTCCTTTTGAACGTCATTCGCAGAAACTGTAAGGTTCTGTGCACGAATGAGTCTGGCATAGTGAGCATTGAGTGCAAGAAGTTCCTCGTGATTGCCCTGCTCAACGACCTGGCCGGCTGACACAACGACGATATTGTCAGCGTCCTTGATAGTTGATAGGCGATGCGCGATGACTACCGTGGTTCGCTCTTGAGAAACTCGCGATAAGGCCTTTTGAACGATTCGCTCGGCGTTGGGATCGAGGGCACTTGTTGCTTCATCAAGGAGAAGGATCTTAGGGTTAGAGACCACGCTGCGTGCAATGGCAACTCGCTGCTTTTGGCCACCGCTAAGCGTACCGCCTCGCTCGCCGAGATATGTATCATATCCCTAAGCAATGTTAGACATACGGTATTGAAGTTGAGGAGCATGCTTACCTGTTCGAGTTTTTGGATGAACTCGTGAGCGTAGCTGGCTTCGCAGGCTTCCTGCACCAGCTTCCTCTGGTCATCAAGGCTCAGGGCCTTTTGTGCCTCGGTGAAGCCCTTGGCCACATTCTCAAACACCGTTCCTCTGAATAGAACAGGTTCCTATAACTGTGTTAAACTCATTCGAAAACAGAACGAAGCTGTCTTACCTGCTGGACAAGAGCCATCTGGGACCTAAGCCACTTGACATTAAGCATGGATACATCCATGTCATCAAGGAGGAAGCTGCCAGAAGTTGGTAGATACCATCTCTCCAACAAACCAATTATAGTACTCTTTCCCGAGCCACTGGCCCCAACAATGGCAGTCGTTTTGCCAGCTGGGATGTTCAGACTGATGTTGTTGAGCACGCTTGTGTCGGGTCGAGATGGGTATGAGAAGGAAACGTTCTGTGCCTCGAGATGGCCGTGACAGTTCTCAGGGACTTTGCCTTCATCACCGAGAGGATCCAGTGAGGATGGCTTATCGAAGATCTTGAAGAGCTCGGAAGCTGCTGCCGCGCCGTTGGCCAGGGCTGGGACCTGTGGATAGAGAAGACCGATCGACGATGATGCAAGCAAGACAGATAACACAACGCTATGAAGGGTCAGTGATCGTTGCAGTTGTTGATGAAGATTGGGATCCTTACGTGAACACAGTACCGACAGAGTCGATCTCACCACTCTGGTACATGCGGAAACCCTGCCAGAAGGCCAAAGCATTTCCAGCGTACATGCAGAAATAAGTTGATGAGCTCATGACACCGTACATGAAAGATTTCTTCTTTCCGTGGACGTGAGCTTCTTTGAGATAGTCATCGTATCGCACTATCATTCTGCCCTGTGCCCAAAAGGCATGGACCGTTCGGATGGAAGCCATAACCTCTTGAGCGAAGACATTGGCTTGGGAGTAACTGCCCTGAACCTTTGCTTCGATAGGCGCATCAAGGGTCATTCCGACACCAATGATGAAGAAGAAGAGAGGCACAACAGTCAAAGTGATAAGTGCCAGCTTCCACTGAACTGCTATCGCGACGACAAAGGATGAGACGAACATAGCCAGTCCTTGGATAAGAAGTGACAGTTTCTCAGCAATACCCTGGTTGATACGGGTAACATTGGTGGTCATCTGCGTCGCGGGTGATCCAACATTAGCCGTATCAAAGTACCAGATCTCGGTTCGAAGAAGGTGTTCCAAGAAACGCTGTCGAAGTACTCGTGTCGTTCGGATTCCGGAAATTGTGACAGTCAAAGTGGCCAGATAGCTGAGGACAAGTTTGCCCACAAAGAGGTAGACAAACCATAGGACGAAGGTGTTGACCTCATCCTGAAAGCCCTCGGGGTCGATCTTACCACTCGCATAGTCACTAAATCGGCCTGTGAATTGCCCAAAGACAATAGTCATCAAGGGGAGTGTTGCTCCAGAAGCGATGGAGCAGATAAGGGACGTGAAGTTGAGGATCCAGTCGAGGCGGTCGGCGAATCGAAAGACGCGCTGCAATTTGTAAGTCGTGAGTTCATCTACCCCGGTGGAATAGACTGATCATACCCAAAGATCTCCAAGTTCAGCCTGCTTTTCAGGCTCATCCTTTTGTGTTGTTGTTGTAGTTGAATCCTCAACAAGGATCTTCTTCTCGTTATCGGCATCCATGTTGGAAGCTAGTGGAGAGTCTATTATTAAAGCGGTAGAGGAGAGAAAGAGAAATTTAAACGAAGGCCAGAAGCCTAAAGGAACGCTCAAGAGAAAGAAGGAGAAGGAACTGTCCGATTGAGATTGTTTAATGTCAAACTAAACGACGGTGGCGTTGATGCATACTTATTTACACTCCATGGACATGTCTGAGCTCACATCCATTACTGACTTACGCGAGCGGGTCATACAGAATGGCTCATGCTGACTGCATTCCCATAATTTACCTGCCAAGACAATCAATCTCTTCCCTGAATACGCCGCAGCTTCAGAAAATGTGTCAAAAATAATTGATCCACAATGTGCCTAATCCACACCCAACTTACCCAAGTCTTTTTGTCGTCTAGACTGCCTGTACACTCCCTCGTTTGGACGGACCCGTGGGGGACACGGACAGCCAATCGACATGATCTGCACTAACAGAATTAGGGGCGGCTTGTAGGGCTCGGGACCACGGGCCCGCGCCTCCGAGGTAGCGAGGTGTCAGCATTCCCTCTCCTCCGCGAGCCCGTTCTCCCGCAACACAACCTTTGACCTCACATTTCATCAAATTTCGGCTATTGGGTGAAACTTGGTTCGGTAGGGTCATGTCAGGAGAGGAGACTATTCTAGCCAGGCGGGCTAGGCTCTCCCAGGTCCCACGGGCGGTACGTACTGCTCAGACAAAGCCCTCTCTTCCAATTCTAGCTCAAGATACTAACAGTGCAAAAGTGTGAAGCCTGTAAAGTCCGCAAGGTGAATACTATGCTCAGACTAGACTAGTCTGTTCGCTTCTGACTCTTCTAGATTCGATGTGACAGGTCCCATCCTTGCGGAAACTGTAAAGCTGCAGGTATAGCCTGCCAACAAGCTCATTCTGTTCAGTCAGATGCACGCTCAAAGCCAGACAACCGAATAAGTCAATTGTAAGCCCTTTTTCTCTCTATTCATTTAAATTTACTTATAGCTCCTAAAGAGAAGATTACGTGGCTACTCTCGAAGCCAGACTGGCCAAGGTCGAGTTACGTCTAGACAAACAACCTGGACAGCCATTGACTTCTACACCTGCTTCGACATCCGCGCCCACGCGCCCGACAGAGACCTCTTCCGTTTCTCCAGCTGGTTCATCTGAGCCCAGTGTCTATGATGTAGCTCCATCTCCGGGCGGTGCTTTATACGAGGGAACATCATCGTTTCTTCAGCAATCTGTCCAGGCTAGTCAAGAGGTTCAACGCTCTGCAGCTGCAGAGAGTCCTGAAGCAGCACAAACAATAAGCGAATCATTCAACCAGTTGAACTCCATCTTCAAGAGTCAGAATGATAAGAAGTTACCCTTCGCTGCCTCGACTCGATCCATGCCAGAAATTACACCTCTACCAGCTTCGGTTGTCCTCACTATTCTACGCAAGATCAAAGGTAGTGACCAAAGCACATTTAGAAGCGGCTGAAGTTCCAATAATTAACCCTCTATATAGCCAATCCAACCAGATTCTTTCCTGGTCAAGCCCTCACTGACGTGCGTCTAATTGAGCATCTGTGTCAAAAGGTCTACTTCCCAACGGAACCAGTAACCCTTGGGCATATTACAAGCGTCAATGGCATCATGCGATTACTCCTCCGCGAGTTCATCATAACAAAGGACAGCCTCGGCGAGGAGTATAACCTGGAAGAACTAAAAGCGCAGGCTGAGCGAAACTTTGACCGAGGTCTCCAAACCTTTGAGCTTATGACGGTTCCCAGTTTCGAGAACATTCTGGCTATCACAGCTGCGGTAAGTTGTTTTTAGATCCCCTTTTATGTCATTCTTTCCATAAATTATTGATTCGTCGTAGGTTCTCAAGATCCAAAACGAAGCTGCTCCTGTCCTGGCCCGTTCATTAGTCAACGCAGGCCTCAGTCATTGCCAAATGATGGGCTACCATCGAGAGGTAACCTATCAGAAAGACCAGAGTGGGTTCGCTGACAACAAACGTCGGCTTTTCTGGACACTTTATGTCTTTGACAAGACGAACTCTCTCCATTTCGGCAACGCTTCGAGGATCCAGGACTTTGAAGTTGACGCGCATTATCCTGCTATACCAGACGACCCAGCGGAGAAGCCCTGGACCGAACTGTTTCGACTGGCTGTCAGGCTTGCCAAGATCCAGGGTTTGATATTTGATAAACTTTATTCTGTTGCTGGATTGCAATCTCCTGCTGTAGATCGCAGACAATGGATTGATGCATTGGTTACTGACATGCACCAATGGCGATACGAACTGGACCATGTAGGCTCCCTTCCAGATGTTTTGAATCTCCGTTGCTCACTAAACTGATGCATGTGTAGATGGATGGAAGTACAGTGCGCTTCGCAGAGATTCTGAAGCTTTCAAAGACCCATTGGGACATCATGTACTACTCAACTCTAACCATTCTATTACGAGCCCCAGCAATGCCAGGGGTAGGTACAGACATGACATCCCAGTGCTTTCAAGCAGCAAGGCTCTCTCTACAAAGTCATCTTCGCGCATTCTCAGGCTACGGTGGCGACAAGATGCTCTCGAAAGCAGATTACATCGACTGGTAAGTCCACTCTAGCTTGATCAGACCAGTCAGCTTACACTAGCAGGGCTCTCCACAACTCATCATTCACACCTTTTGTAGTCATATTCCTACACTCGATAGCAGCTTCTAGTCTTGAAGACGTAGAGCTTCTCGAGCAGGTAGTCACCACGTTCCGGAGCGCCAGAGATATCAACATTGGAGCTGAGAAGCTCTATCAAATCTGTTCTACGTTCTCACGACTTGCCCGTCGAATGGTCGAATCTCGAAACACATCAGTGGGCATGTATGATCAGAATAATGATACACTTCAGGTGGCTGGCGTGTCCGAAAATGATCCCTTGACTTGGACGGATATGGCTGTTCTGCCTTCGGAACAACAGGCTGGGACTGATGGCTTTGCGGACTTTCTCACTGATGACATGACCAACATATTGGCTGATTGGATCAACGGACAACCCCCTGCATCTGATATGTTTGCTATGGATTTTGGGGAGTAATGTTCTAAAGAACTTGACTAGATAAGATCGAGCATAGGAAACTAGATGCATCGTCCTGAAACGCGTAAATGATGGATCATTTCCATAAATAAAATCAGGCAGCTGATGATTATGCAAGACTTCTCCAAGGTAACTATATTTTGGTAAGACATTTAATGTTTGCATTTGAATAATATTGTTGCCTTAAATTCGTGGCCGTGGCAAAGCTCTCATCTTACTCCCTAGCCTCAAGGCTACCATGATAGCATTTGGATGAGATCCGCTCTCTCATGAGCAGTAAATTATCTGTCTGCCTGACTAGGCAGAGAGACTCCCAGACAATGAATATTTCCCGGATACCACGCTCTGGTATCTAGTCAGATAAAAAGACTCCTTTGACTATTTAATAAATATTTTCCCCTGATATGTGCTTGCTGTTGGAAATTCATTCTATTTCACACCTGGAAGCTCTCCAGTTCTCTTGATTCTCTTGTTTTCCTTTTCTATCGGCGACAAAATTCGCAAACCATACAAAATGGCGGTAAGTTTGTCTTAGTCTTGCAGCTTGTTAATCTGATTCTGACGTATATCTTGTCTAAAGTCTGCTTCTGGGTAAGTACTGTCATTGAAATCATTCCGCATTCTACGACTAATCTCGATACACAGTGTTTTGATTGACCAAGACTGCATCACCGCTGCCAATGATCTTCGATTTGCAAAAGGATCGAGTAAGATCAAGTTCGTTATCTTCAAGATCACCGACGACGAGCAGCGCGTTGTTGTTGAAGAGACATCTCCTGATGCTAAATATGAGACTTTCCGCCAGAAGCTTCTCTCTGCGGTTGACAAGTCTGGGAAATCGGCTCCGCGCTATGCACTCTACGATGTCGATTACGACCTTGGAGAAGATGGGAAAAGGTGAGCTCCTCGGGTTTGGTACCAGGATTTACTAACAAAAAGTATAGGACTAAGACCATCTTTATATCTTGGGTTCCACAGACCTCGCCTATCAAGGTAGGGCTGACACATGCTAATTCGGCTCAACTTACTGATTGGGGAATAGCTTCGCATGCTTTACGCTAGTACGATGGAATATTTGAAAAAGGCAGTCAATATGAGTGTTTTTATTCATGCTGATGATCAAGAGGACATTGAGTGGGAGGAGTTGGTCAAGACTGCAAGTGGTGGCAAAGCCAAATGAGGCCAGCATTCAGGCCTCCAAAGCGTAGTTACTGGTGTTCGCTTACTGAGTAATTTAAAATGCATCTCTTTTACCTAGGCAAGGATCTGAAACAATCAAGCTTTTTCCTCCGGGGCTGATCTTGATCTTGATCTTGATCCTCTGATTGCGCTAGCAGCTAAAACGTGGCCAATGGCCGGTGCTAGTGCTGCACGATGCCATAGAATGACGTTATCGCCAACAAAACGTCAACGCCTTTCATCTCCTCACAACAGGATTGGATTGGCTCTTTTGTACCATACACACTCGCCACGCGTACTTTGACCGAGTGTGGCTGGAAAACCTGGAACTCCATCATCTTTGTCGTACAACCGACAACGTCATTATTTGCTGCTGTTGCTATAAACTTTATTTATTTGTTTGTATTATTACTCCGAACCCCAAGGTTTCTGCTTCTGAGACGTAATCATCGATAACCTACAAAAATCGACATTCAAGATGCCGCGTACTCTACTGCTTTGTTTTATCCACGGGTTCAAGGTGCGATAGCCGCATGTCCTTTACTATTACTTATTGACATTGTTAGGGTACCGATAATACCTTTCATGAATTTCCCTATGTGAGTAGTGACCCACGCTAAATGCAACAAGCCTCGTAGCTTAAACTTACACCATCAAAGGACCTCAAAAAAGCAGTCGCCAGAGGACTCCCGGACGACAAGATCGAATCTGTCGTATATCCCAAGTATGAGACTACTGGCGAATTGGCTCAGGCCGCTGAGG